AGAAGTTATATTATTTTCTTTTATAGCAAATCTGATAATCTTTTCTGTTTCAAGGCATATTTTTATCACGCTTTCTGAAGGATATGTTAAACTTCCACGATCTTTTATTTGTATAATTTTCTTTAATTTACTATTATCAATTATAGCATTAACACAAATATCACACATGATGTATTTAATTAAATGTCTTACAATAAATCCAGCTATTGTAACTTATAACTTCTATAGAATAGTGATCTAAATTAATAATATTATAAATTAATGCTGCAATATAAGGATAATCGTGTTCAACTGAAATTTGATTAATATACTTTTCAGTGTCAAATTCATAATTATCAATCATACAAGTTTTATTTATTAATTCCTCTGGTTTAAATACAGAAATTGCGCTTAATATTAGAATATCATCAAGAGCAATGCAATCACCTGTTGTTGCACTCTTAATTTCTGAACAATAATTTTTTAAATGCAGCTTGAAACTGTCTAACAGTAGGATTATTGTTTTGGCGTCCAAAAGCTCGAATGCATCCGAAAAATAACTCAACATGATCTTGACTAATTTGATAAAGTGGTATATATGGCGCAATTTGTTCCTTTTAACATATATCGTGATATAACATTGTTAAGCTTTCAATATTAATCAAAAAGCCAAGAAAACCTATTTTTCGCTGAGATTGAATTAATAATTGCCCATTTTTTAATCTTAAACTTAACAAATATTGTTTGCATTCTTCTAACTTATATATAACATATTCATAATTATCCGGATTTATTGGACATTTATAGCATTTTTGTCTTAAATTCTGAGAATTGAAGATATCAAATAAGTTATTGACCATCTCTAGAAATTCTTCTGTTGCTTCTGAATGAGCAAAATTTTCTAATTTCAATATATTTCTACATATTTTAAGTGCATTTGCAACAGATAAACTAAATATTTGAGCAGCTAATCAAACATTCATCTTTTTCTTGTAGTATTTTATATGCCCTTTTCGCAATTTATTACCTATATGTACACCTTCGTTTTCTTGAAGTTCATGTAGAGCGACAATATATTCCCATTTTATATCATATCCATTGTTGTTTACAAACATTTATAATCCCTCAGAGTGTTCCGTATCAATTTAAGCATATGACACAGGTCAAGAAATATATATACTCTTTTATGTTTCGAAATGGGATGTTGAAAATATGTCTGTAAGTGCGTAGGTTGATTAATATTACATTTTAAAAAACGTATCATGCTCAAATTTGATGTAGCACCATCACAAATCAGAGTTTTAATGTCCATTCCACAATCATGCAATAATGATAGGGATTCATTAATTAAGCATGCTTTTTGTTCCCCATTAATGCCATTAATTAAGAAATACCTTACTGGTATTTTCCATAACTTATTTATGCCAACAACTAAAAATACTAGCGCTTCTTTTGCAATAGTAGATTCCTCACTCGCAATGTTATCGCCCATGTCACAATGACCATAAAATCTCTTTCCATCAAATTCAATTTATTGTCTTATTGCCATTTCATTTATGATTAAAGTAATGTCTGATTAGAATTGTTTACATATTTTTTAATATATATTAAAGCTTCTTTATTACATCCAGGTTTACCATTTACTGAACAATATCATTTGGACAAAGTTTTTGGATGTGGAAGGCATGAATCAAAAGTTTCTCTAACATATGAATATGCTCGCGGAGAATAATAATGTAATGTTAGAGCAAACGTTCTCAATTTAGGCGAAAATTTGCGATTAAGTATCTTTCCTTTAGATTTATGAATTATTCGTTTTAATAAATGTGCATTTCTTACTGCTATACCTTTTAAATTATATAATTGTTCGTCCTGCAATAAATTTTTTTCCTTTAAACTTTCAAATACAGATTTCATAATAGCCATTCTTTTACTCATACGTCTTGTTCTTTGCTGCAAAACTTTTATCCGTGATAAGTAGTACTGTTTTGTTCTTGATAATTCTTGTCTCAATCTCATTTTTTCTGGAGAATTATAAATTCTATTTGGAGATATTGCAGTATATTTTGAAACTTTGGAGAATGATTGTACTATGGAAGAAATAAAATTAAAATTTACAATATATAATTATTAAACATATATAAAAGATAATAATAATAAACTTTTTACAAGATTTTTTTTTATATAAAATATTAATGAATTCCAAAAAACAATATTTATGCTTATTGTATACTAGCTAAAAAATGCTTACATGACACATTATCTCTGCTAGTTCCTGCGGTAACTGTATCATTACATAAAAGTAGTTGCAACTGTGAATTAAATATTAATATTTAATTAAATATTAATTTTATATATCTTATAAATATTTATAAAAAATATTTTTCTAAAACAAATCTTAATACATTCTACATCAACGTACTTGTGAAACTTCCTTTACTGTGTTCAGTTGCTGAGGTACTGAAGGTTTTTTTGGAAGTACTGTCACTGAATGATTACATTTCTTTTTTTTAGGCGGTTCATCATAATCATTCCATTCTTCTAATTCTGTTTGGTTTTGTGTTTTACATATTTCTAATGAATAAGAAATTTCTTGCTTCTTTTCTTGCGTTTCTTTATTTATTGTTGATGTGTGAGTTGGATATAACTAAATAGTAATAATGAAGCAAGATAAAGTTATATAATTTCAGCGAAAACCAAATTAGAAATATCTTACACAAGGAATTGCATCTTCTCTTAATCTTATCTGTATTTGTGGGCAATTATAAAAATCTTTAGGTTGAAAATGCATGGAGCATATTGTTGCAGATTGACTGATAGAAGCTTCTGATATGTTCATGGCTTCACACCACATTCTTCTTTTCATAGCATTTTTTGGCAATCTATAATAGTAATAAAAAAAATTAAGAATTAAAAAAAAACATAATGAACTTAAGTTTATATCATTTCTTTACATCATTTGTTACTATTTATTGACTTTTTTATTCATTATTTATTTACATCATTTACGTTACAAATTCAAAATCATTTACACCCACGTGTAGTTAAAATCACAACATATTACGATGTATATACTTACACATGAAATGATATTTTTTGAGTTTTTTCTAACTCCTCTTGTTGTTTGGATTTTCGCGATGATCTATTGTGACAGTTTTTTGCTATGCAATGCACCATTTTTATAATTAATTTTTTTCTAAAACAAGTATAAAAGTTTAGAACATCCGTAACGCTTACGTTAACTATTAACTATAAATTTAAACCTATAGTATTAAATGTAATGTAACGTGTAGATTGCGGAAGACTTATTTTAATTTAATTCTGTCTTACTTATCTCTCTTTCTTCTTAATCCTCTCTTTATTAAAATTTTTCACATTTTCTTCCTGTCACTAACAGATCAATACGCATCCACGTCAAATAATACTACTCTCAATGTGTTGAAATAATACCACTCTCATCAAATAGATAGCAGCACTAGTGGCCCATAAATATGACTGAAGGTTGTTTAGAGGTCAAACCCCTCCCGCACCATGGCTTCACTCCCCGCGCCTATAATATCCCTTAATGCTCCCTCCTTTATCTCCATGCAGAGATGCCAGTTTGCGGACGCTAGCAGCATGCTCAGGGTGCTTTCCAACTACGTACACAGGCGACACTGTGTAACACTGTGTCCATTAGTGTGAGAAAGAGCATATCAGTGTGTCTCACTCACACTAATGGACACTGTGTTACACAGTGTCGCTTGTGTACGTAGTTGGAAAGCACTCTCAGCAAGTAGAGGGGATACACAGACGAAACGCACACAGGCGAACAGCCGTGTACGTGTGCGCTCAGCGCCTCGGCAAGTGGCTGCTTGCTTGCGTGTCCCCTCCACTTGCTGCAGCATGTTGCTAGCGTCCGCAAACTGGCATCTCTGCCTGGAATACAGAGTCTGGCCATAGACGTATAATATATAAACTGCGCGTCACGAACGACGATTCTTGCTTTTGTGCGTGCTGCCACCGCTTCGATACTCTCGTTGCAGCGGGCTCGATCTTTCATCACTGCCATCACTGGTTAACAGACGTGTCTCTGTTTCTCTCTCTACGTAGCGCATAAACAATTTTGTAAAAAAAGATGCAGTCCGATGAGATGTTATCTGAAAACGAGGAAGAAATGCTTGTTTATGTACAATTTGAAGGGCTTGTTGGCAGTAACGTGTTCGATGACAAAAATCTTGAATTAGATATAGTTGGAATAGATACAGAACATCCTATAATACAAATTAATGGACGAGTATGTATATCTTAAGTTTTGTATTTATTTTTATACTTGATGTATAAATGTTTAATGAAATAATATTTGTGTTTAAATTACCTTTAAGATTTTAAATAGTTTTATTCTATGAGAATTTTATCTATTTTCAGTTTTACGAAGGCACCTATGAAGATGCTGTGGGCACATATATGTTCTTTGAAAAAGAAGATAATCCTCAAGTGGATGATCCTATATTTGATAAAGCACCTACTTTAAAATATTTTGCTAAAACAAGAAAACTGCTCAAGATGCAGAGAGTTTTTACAAAACCAAGAACAGAGATTTTAGGTGATTCCGAACAGAGTGGCTGTACTCCAAATATGGAAATATTATCTCAAGCTGGAGTACCTCCAAAGTATCAAGAAGAAGGTAAAAAAAGGATGATCATTTATTCACAAATGGCTGTTTACGTATTAACAAATTCATGTAATTTATTTCTATAGCTCTTCAATTTTGGGAACAACTATATAAAGAGAGACAAGAAGAATTAAATATGCATTTGGAAAAGCAACAAATTGGAGAAGAAAAACATCCTGAAGATACTGTATCGGAACTTAAAGAAGACAGCCATACAGCAAATAAAAATGATCCTCTTATAATAGATAAAGTTGAAGATAATTCTCTCTCTCTTTTAATAAATAAAACCAAAGATAATTCAGAGAAAACGTGATTACATGTGGAAAACTCTATTTATCGGAAAAAAGTAAGAAGTTTTATTATTTTAGTCATTATATGTACATATATACATATTTATGAATATATTGATAATTTTTTTTTTAAATGTATATAATTTATGTATATGTTGATAATTTCTTTTTTTAATAAACTTTACAAACTTTTCTCGTTTCCATTCTAATAAATAAACAATTCATAAACAACAAATCTTATGCATGTCTCTGGTATTTAAACGATTTTCTTTTTTCTTCATGTATTTTATTTTGTAATTTGTATGTAATTATAATGTATATAAAATTGTAATGTTGCATATAAAATACTGAGTGTGTAATTAAAAGCATATATAATTTTATTTATATATAACGATTTTTATTCTAAATTTATTATCGATGTTTGTGAATAATAAAATACTTATTATACTTGAATTGAAATTCGATTTTTTATGTATTAAACAATATATAAATCAATATGACACGACTATACTAATATATTTCTGTAGTGGTATAGTACTTTATGCATAAAACGAAATGCATTTTGTTTATCTTCGTATTTAAACTTGCACATTATCTTTACCAATCTAGATCACCAGGAAGTTCATCCGGATATTCTCCTGTTAAACAGGCAGTACAATGGCCAGCATAACTGCTTTCGCGATTGTCCATGTTGTATCTTACAGCATCAACAAGTCCCTGAACGGAAAGGTATGCTAAACTGTCTGCTCCCACATGTTTAGCTAATTTTACATTATCGAGCTTATTCGCGATGAGTTCTTCTCGCGTCGGAATATTTATGCCCATGTAGCACGGATATTTCAACGGTGGCGATGCTATCCTAATGTGAACCTGTGAAGCGCGTATACGCAAAACAGATATAGTAAACGTAAAAACATACAGACGAGTAAAGCAAGCATGAGAAAACGAATGACTTACTTCCTTAGCGCCCGCATCACGCAGAAGTTTGATAATCGGTCCAATTGTGTTTCCTCTAACAATGGAATCGTCAATAAGAACTATTTTCTTTCCTTTGAAGTTCTCCGACAACGCTCCAAACTTTTTAGCTACTCCAAGCTGTCTTAGTCGCGTACTAGGTTGAATGAACGTCCTACCTACGTACCTATTTTTGCACAGCACTTCAGCAAAAGCTATTTTGGACTGCAAAATAATTCGTAATAGTTCGTATTATTTAAAATCTCTTAGTGTTTTAAATTTTCATTTGGCTTGTGTTTATATTGTTAAGTTTTATTATTTTTACCTGTCTGGCATAACCATGCGCAGCCGCAGTTCCAGACTCGGGTACCGAACTTACTATGTCCGCCTCAACTGGCGATTCCATGGCTAATACTCTACCGCATTGCATACGAACGGAATATACCATTTGTCCTAAGACAATATAAAGAATTTGTAATAAATGTCAATTTATAATATACATATATTGTTGTCTACATACGTGTTATTAATTAGTATTACCTTCAAAAATGCTGTCGCTTCTAGCGAAGTATACATATTCGAAGATGCAAAAAGCTTGTGATTTGTTATTAGGCCTTTCTACTATATCGATTGTCTTGATACCCTCTCGAGTCAGTTCTACAATTTCACCAGGGAACACCTCGCGAACGTATCTTGCACCGATGCTTAAAAAGCCGCACGATTCCGACGAGATTACCCAACCTTCCGCTTCGTCGTCATCTTCATCAGATTCAGTACTTGCTGCGATTTAAATACACTTGTTTTATATTCATGTTCAAAATAGAATATCGGTTAAATGTAACGTGAAGCACGGCGCTAAGTTTGATACTCTAACAACACGCACCTAATGTGCCAAGCGGAACAATTTTTCCTAGACAAAGAGGTCGATTTCCGTAAGGATCTCGTACACCGTAAATTTTGTCCCTTTGCATTATGACTAAGGAATACGACAACGGTGCCAATTGCATGAGATGCTTGATACGGGCAGGCCAGTCCGGTCCGTTTACTTCGCCTTCCGGTGGATTTAAGCAGAGTGCCTGTGTTATAAGTTCTGAATCCGAGTGCGTCGACAAACCAACACCGCGACCTAATACCTTAAAAAAGAGATTTTCATTAACTTTCAGTCAAAAAAAGATAAGCGATTCAAATATTCAGCGAGATAATTAAGAAAATAAATAAAAGAGTCATTAAGTTCGCTCGTCGTTACCATTTTTCTCAAAGATTCTGTATTCACTAATTCCCCGTTGTGAGCAATCGCCAGTGCTCCGTGCGCGGTATGTACAACGAACGGCTGACAATTGACTTCTTCACTGGCTGCGCTTGTGCTGTATCTCGTATGACCAACTCCGAGGTTTCCCTTGAGCTTCTTTATATTCTCATCATTGAAAATATTATTCACCATTCCCATACCCTTGTGAACGTGGAACGACTTCGAACAGACACCGTCACTTGTAACAATTCCTGCGCTTTCTTGTCCTCGGTGTTGTAACGCTACTAAACCTGGTCAAGCATAATACAAATATTTTGTATCTTAAATTATCGATTCTTGTTCATGTTTATTCTGTTGTCGTGTTTATTCTGTTTCTTGCTATATTTGAACTGATTTCTATCAATGAATAATACCTAGGCATATACACTGAGCAACGTCTATTTGTGATGGCCAATCTCCCGCGGCAATACATCCGAAAACACCGCATTCATGAGTTAGACCGGTACATCTTTGTCCTCTAGTTTCGCCTTTGCTTCTTGGCAAATATTTTGACCCATTCATTGAAAGACGCGACATCGCTTCGGCACAATGTTCGCTATCTTTGTGGGATGATGCTTCCATGATCTGCAAATGAAATATTTTTGTCTTTTTTTTTTTCACTCTTTATAAGTCGATAATAATTAAACATGAGCTTTGTGAACTGCATAAGACATCAATATATTTCATTGAAATATGTCTAAGTAAATCATTTCACAATCTCTTTTCGCATATTATCTGTATCACCCTTGTAAACTATTGACCCCCAACGGACTGATGTTGACATATATCTCACGTTTGTTCAATATTATAAACTATGTTTTCTCAGCGTGGGTTGCTCAATCTGTGTGTTTCGCAACTGATTTCATCATCTCTCATTATATTGACATCATGAGTGTTGCAGAGAGTTACCATTTGTAACAAATCAATCTCACATCATACAAGAAATCACAAAACAAAATATTTTTCTACTGTTGTGATAAAGATAGTGTACAAACAAGTTTGTACATATGTTATTGTTATTAATTGTACATATGTGTGTATGTGCATGACTATATATGATCTAATATGAATTGTTTCTTTCAAATTTGGAAACACAATTCTTTTAACACAACATATTTAAAAGAATGTGCATATAAAAACCTAATTAAATTATATATAACGAGACAGAAAAAAAATTATTTAATCACACAAGAAAAATACATTTTCGAAAATATAATAATAGTTTTAAAAAAATTACAATATTAATATTTATATGATGATTCTATTGAAGATTCTATTTCTAGATTTTCTTGTGTAAATGAAATTATCCTTATATTATCACAATACGATCAATTGTTGCATGTGTTGCACACTACGGTTTTCTCTTTCTAACCACCTGTTGAATAACACTGTCAGCATCTCGACGTAATCTCTCAGCCGGAAAGACTGCGCTAAACATCGCCTTTCATGTAAACTTATCGAATATATTTCAGTACTATGCTTAGTGATCAGAATCTTTTTTTTCAAAAGCTGACTGTGATTTTTATCTATTTTCAGAACACACAGGCGCGGTTATTGTTATACATTATATCTTGAAGACGATCGCTGAGTTTTTAATAGTCTGATTTATTTTGAATCGAGTGCGAATACAAAATTATGAATAAAAATTATGAATGACACGCGTGTTGTTACGCGCGCAGTTCAATTTAAATTCAGATATAAAAGACGAAAATCTGTAATAGAAAAAGTGATGTGCCTACCTTAACGTGTATACGTATCCTGATGGTAAAGAACGTGGCTTGTGTTCTTCGTCGCTTCAGAGAAACGAATGTCTGTCTATTCGAGCAAAATGTGCTTCACGAGCATGTTCCAGAGCATTAATGGCGTGAATGACGACCAATGAGGAACCGTTGTTGCCTGAGGGGAATCGGACGATCAAACTTGCCGACTATTATCTCTTCTTTTCTTCTGAAAAGGAAACATGTGTGCGCGCGGAAAGGTACAGAATAACAAACTAAAAAAAAAAACAACAAATATTTGAAATAGAATTGTTTTTTTTCTATTCTTAATTGTCTATCTTTAATTTTTTAACGAATACGATGTTTCTCGCCGTCGTCGTATAAAATAAAAATATAACATAAGTAAAAATTTGAATAAATAAAAATTTAACATACATATCTATTGTATATTTTTATTTTATATAAAATATGGTCACACATGTACTATATATATGTATACGCGCGCATGTAGATCAAGGGCAGATTACTACAATCATTGACAACACAATAACAGCAGAAGTGTATTTCCTTCTCAAGTGGACTTATCTGCGTGGTCATATTATCTAAACCAAGTAAAGTTCGAAAAACGTGGTTTTTCTCCATGTTTATGTTGTAACATGATAGTTACAAATTTCGAGCGTGATCTTCTTATACTTCTCTGCTGGTGGTCTAGTGGAAAAATACAGCTTGCGATATGATCTTATCTTAGAGTTCACGAACTTCAATATTCCAATTTAAAATATAAAATTTTTCTATTGCGCCATACAAATTGTGTTGATAAAAAACATCGATGTATAAAGCATTGTAAAGAAATATTGGCTCGAATTTGCAGTTGTGCAAAATTACGCACACGATCATCTGCAACAGAAAAAAATTTATATAAGTTATCGTACTTAAGATTATGACAATATACTTAAAAATATGATTTATTGATATATTTATTTTATTGTAAATTTGTAAACGTGCGCGCGTTGTTTCGTGTGTGTTCATACTTTAATTTCTAGAAAGTATATTAACATCGCTTACTTCTCTTATATTAAAAAATAAGTGTAATTGTTTTACACACAATCTGCGCGCGTATTTCCGACTAAAATCGAGTTTGTGGCAAGCATAATAGTTTGTAATTAATCGACATAATTGTTACGTGCAAGGAAGATTGATCTATTTTTCATGTGTATTGCAAGAAAGAGAAAAGATTTGAATAATTTCTTTCTTTTAATATCAGTGCTGTAACAAGAGAGTCTAGAATCTTCAAGCGCGATTCACACATTGACGAAGATCATAGTGGGGACAGCTGTAGAAATACGCTGTGATGCGATAATTTACTTCCATAAGGATAGCAAACGGTAGAGCGGCAACATGGCTAGTGGTAAGTCCGATAAGAACCGGTTTCGTGATACATATGTCTAATTAAAACAAACTGTGGGAATACAGTAGAAATTTAATCTCTTTGTCCACGATCTCAGATTACATCTCTCTCGTCGTTTATGCGTCTTATTATCTTTTAATATAAAATATTATATTTATAATATAAAAAATTCTCAAGTATCATGAAATGTAAACATTTAAGTTTTTCAAGGTTCACGAAAATCGAACACATATTGGAATTGATTACAGATAAATTAAATAACATGTAGTCAAAAAAAAAAATAAAATGTTCGACAAAATTTGTTGTATACATAAAACAAATTTAGTTTGGTTAATATAACAAAATGTTTGTTTCTTTTTTTTAGGCACAAAACTTGGCAAACTCATCAACGAAGGAAAGACCAAAGAGGTTTACGAAGTTGTCGGTGATCGTACACTATGTGTTCTAGTAAGCAAGGATCGCATCACAGCTGGTGATGGTGCAAAATCACATGATTTAGAGGGAAAAGCCGAAATTAGCACGTCTACAACTGCAAAGGTCTTTCAGTTGCTTAATGAAGCTGGTATTAAGACAGCTTTTGTTAAAATTTGTAATCCAAAAGCATTTCTAGCAAAGAAATGTGAAATGGTTCCTATTGAATGGGTTACTAGAAGAGTGGCAACTGGTAGTTTTCTAAAAAGACATCCAGGTGCGAACAAACTGTTCTTTTAGAACTAATATAAAAGAGATATTGGACTGCTCGTTATATATCTAATTGTTTTACAGGCGTCCCGGAAGGTTACAGATTCAATCCACCTCTTCAAGAAACGTTCTTCAAGGATGATGCAAATCACGATCCTCAGTGGTCTGATGAGCAAATAATTTCCGCGAATTTTCAGTTAGGTGGTGTAAAGATAACGAGAGATGAAGTGAATATCATGAAGCGCACTACTCTTGCTGTTTTCGAAATTCTTGAAAGAGCTTGGACCGTGCGGGACAGCGCTCTAATAGATATGAAGATAGAATTCGGCGTGGATTCAAATGGCGAGATCTTGGTTGCCGACATTATCGACAGCGACTCTTGGAGACTTTGGCCTTCTGGAGACAAAAAACTAATGAAAGATAAACAAGTAAAACTGCCGTCACCTCGAATATGTATATTTTTGTAAAAGTTTTATATGTTTGTCTAATATAGTTTTTATATTTCTTACCAGGTGTACAGAGATCTGTCCACTGTAACACAAGAGCACTTAGAAACTGTAAAACGTAATTTTAAGTGGGTGGAAGAACAGCTAAATTATGTCATTCAAGCATCTAATCCATTGGTTGTTATACTTATGGGTTCGCCATCCGACGAAGCGCATTGCCAAGAGATTGCAAAGCATGCTCGGGCATTAGGCTTGCGACCGCAACTCCGGGTCTGTAGTGCTCACAAGGGCACTGAAGAAACTTTAAATATTCTCGCCGAATACGAAGGAAGCGGAGAAAAAGTATGTTTATTGTTAATTAATTTTTATATCTTATATATATATCTTATATTTTTGTATCTTCATATCATGTGTCATACGAGTGCAATTTAAGTAAATAGTTAAGTAATGTAACTGTGCACACAACACACACACAGCCAGCAGCAGCAATATCAATATTGCGTAATTTTGTCATAATGTTTATCAACTATTGGTCATCATTCTTTCGCTACCGAACGGATATTATCAAAACATACCAAAGACTGGTGTCTATGTTATCATGCCTTAATTGCAACATTTCTTATGATAAAAGAAAACGATAGCTATAAAAAGATTCTTTATTTCTGTTTATCACGAACTTATTTCTTGGTTTTTTTCCTGTAGGTGGTACTGATAGCAGTAGCCGGTCGCAGCAATGGTTTAGGTCCAGTACTCTCCGGCAATTCCGTCTTGCCTGTCATAAATTGTCCACCTTTGAAATCGGACAATATCGAACGAAACTTGTGGTCTTCGCTCGACGTACCGTCAGGTATTATAAAACAATTGATCTTTGTGATAATTTGTGTGCTTTGTTTTTTCTGAAATGTTAAACTAAAAAATATACTTACAGGTCTCGGATGTACGACAGTCGTGCATCCGGAAGGTGCTGCGCTCGCAGCGGCGCAAATTCATGCGATACACAATCACTTGGTTTGGGCTCGTTTGCGAGCGAAGCAGCTCACGAACTTTGTGAGTTTAATAAAGGCAGACGTTAAATTACGAAATCAATGATCACGTTAGCTCTTTGCATATACACTCTACTCTTACTGATTTTGGCTATACTTTATTGGCTTCAAGTATGTAACATTCATTTGTTTTCACTTGAACAAACTTTCGAATGATGTAAAACCGTTTATTAAATTTAAAGATATCCCATATTTCAAATATAAATCAATATTGTATTGCGATAATGAGAAGAGGAATTGTTTAAAATCGCAATATTGACGTATATACACTGTACAATTGCCTATCACCCATTTAGATCTGTACTCTTTTTATATGTTTAAGAAATACAACATATATATTCTATACATATTGAATGTTTGATTAATCCTTATCATTACCGTTCTTGATTTTGGCTCGCCAAATTTTCAATTTCCGCTACTGCCTTTGGGCAATGTTTCGTTAAAACTTCTGGACCACTCGCCGTGACCAAGATATCATCTTCTATACGAATCCCCAAGCCACGAAAGTGTGACGGTACGGAAGTCATTTTTGAGCTGATGTATACACCTAGTTTCCAACAAAAGATACCATACGCTTTAATTTTGATTATTGAGTTTAAAAATGTTTTAAACTATTTCTGGTTGAGCGATGTTACAAATGTGATCCTTTGAATCGTACCAGGTTCTATAGTTATTATCATGCCAGGTTGTGTTCTTATACTTCTGGATATCTTTCCTGTGTCGTGCACATCCATTCCTAAATAATGACTGACGTGATGCGGACAGTATGCGTACGCGGCCTCAAATAATTGATCTTTCCCTATTTTCTTCGGTATCAAGTCGATTTCTTGTAATCTTTCTCCCAGAAGAAGACACATACGACGAAATACGTCGTCCAATGACGGCATTTCTGTCAAGCTTTCGATTAAACGTTTCTGCACATCGAGCACTATTTCATACAGAACTTTTTGTTCTGGCGTAAATTTGCCGTTAATCGGCCACGTTCGCGTTATATCGGACGAGTAACCATGAAATTCGCAGCCTGCAAATGAGAATAGAAAAAAACTTTAAAAGAATTTTAACAGTGAACAATATATTCATAAATTTGCACACACATTTCCGCACAAACCTGCATCCATCAAAACTAAATCACCGTTTTGAATGATCTGATTGTTGTTGATATAATGTATTATGTTTGCATTTTTTCCTGCCGCTACAACAGGCGGATACGCCAAGTATTCAGCCCCGCGCATACGACATTCGTAATCTACAGTAGCGAATAACTGATGCTCGTTCATCCCTGGTTTTGAGATTTGAATCGTTTTTACAATTGAATCTGAGGCTATTTGGCAACTTTGTCGCATTAAATCAATTTCGCAATCGCTCTTGATCAAGCGAATTCGATGAAATAAGTTCTTGGGGGAAGCAAATATTTGAGTGTCTGTCATTTTGATCAATTGACACAGTTTTTTGTGTAAGATAGGTTGAAGAACATCAGCATGATCATACCATAAGATGCTTTTTCTGTCCTCTTGTATGAGCGAAGTTAGGAACCGTTCGATCTCTGTTAGTGGCAATGCATGATCTGTACCAAATATTTGAGTCGCCATTTCTACACTTGTTCTTGGTCCATCCCACAGTTCCGAATGTTCATCCTTTGCTCTTACAAACAAAGTAAATGAAGAGTTGTTTTCCTTAAGTACAAGCACTAAGACACTGTCTGGTTCTTGACATCCAGAGAAATATAAGAAGTCTGTATTTTGCCGAAAGACATATGGTATTTTGTCAGACATATAGACTTTAGTTGCTGCAGGTATGACAACAATATGTTGTCTATTCATGGTGTGGGAGTTTACTGAAATGTTTTCTACTAATTTAGAACGTCTTCTTTTAAGTTCCTGAAGTGATATACCCGGGACCACTTCTCCATGTTTTAACAAGTGAGGATGAGTTATTGAAGTTGGCTGTCCACATGGCGCTTGTAGATAAGTATCTCGCGTGCATTCTTGTTGAATTAGAGTAGTTTTAACTGTTGTCTCAGCTGAGTAGCGCGCCAACAACTGACATCCTAAAAAGATAAATATTCTAACAATAATAAACAAAATATCTTATATACATAAAAACTAAATATCATTTAGTACACATTCAACTACTAAAGTAAAATAACAAATGACACTTCTCACCCAATTTACTTGGATTGTATTTTAGTAAATGTTTAATGCTATTCAACATTTCTCAAGTTTTAAAATATATGATATTGTGCAAACAAGTTGGTTATGGTTATTTTATAATTTGAACAATTTAAATAATCTATATGTGTGCACTAATTTTTATTTAGCATAATTTTTTATTGCCACAACATAACCTTTAAGAGAATATAACTAATACAAGTTGTTACTTTTTTCAAATCCCGCATGACTTTAGCGGCATTTTAGGATCTAACTAATATCGGAAGAGAATTATACGGTCGCCAACTTCGTTAAATTTCAAAGTTAAAAATCGCTAGATGACAGTTGGTATCTTCATCTTCGTTTGGCGGGAAATACGAACTGCATTAAAGATTACCATGTGGCGCGATTACACACAAGACGAATTCTTTCTCGCGACACAAAGACAGCGCGATCTAAACTTACAAACTTACGTTTGTTTAATGAAAATTTGATAACACGCGCGTTATGATATATTGTAGAATATAATTAAAGCTAATATCGAAGATAGTATAACGCATGCGTTAATAAAGTAACAGAATAAGCTTGTTGGTTAGCAATCGATACGCGCGTGCTGTATACACTGTGGCCAAAAATGGCAATTCCATATATCCACATGAAAACGCTTACATTTTAAATTCAATGAAAGCTCGACGGAATTATTCTCGAAAGGTAAAATTCTTTATACTGTGCATGTGAAGTCAACGTACTCTGCTAAATGGCAAAGTTAATTACATATTGTTGATACCTCTTAACAGGTTACCGCATACATGAAATGTCAACACACACGAAGAAGAACGAAAAGTAAACGATGTGTGTCCAACATTCGATTGCTGCGCTGTCATGCGAATACAAGTGATATTTGTGTGGTGGTAATCGACACAGCTGATTGCCGAGGATTAAGAAGCTTCGGCAGGTGTTTGTGTGAAATGTGTGTTGTACATAGGGCAGAACGATGTTACACAAACACGTTACAATAACTTTGGTCGACACACCGATGGAATGGATGGTTTACAAACAGTGACAGCAAAGACTTCGAGAAAAAAACCATGCACAACGTGTTTATTATCTTTTCTTGCCGGATCAAGTTATCTTAATTTGAAATGTATATTTGGCAATTTTGAGAATTTATTCTAGAGAGAAAGAAAAAGAAGAAATACAAACGGGGACAAGAAATTGTCGTGCAATCGTATAAGAGCAAGAGAAAGCAGACAGTTTTGTTTCATAGAAATGTAAAACTTTTACTGTATAAAAAGAAGAAAGGTGTATGAAATAATTGTAATTGACCGTTGTCAAGATAATTTAAGTTTTTCTCGACACATTAACCCAAATCGGTATATATTTACATATTATTTAACAATACAAACAAAAATGAGTAGTCAATTAAATATAACAGTTAGGCCAGAAGTAAGACTGGATAGTAAGTGGTTGAAGACTGATCTGCAACGATTTTTATATCGCGATGGATTGTGTGAATTGTGGAATGAAATGGTGCGTGATGGCGAAATTGTTGGGTCTTTCAGTGACGGTTTGGTCAATTCAGCAGGAATTGTAGCAAAAAAAGGTAAGAATATATGTATCATTATTTACACATTTCTATATCAAAGATAAACAGAAAATTGCTTAATCATTCATTTAAATAAAATTAAAGTGTATGTATAATAAATTTTTTAAATATTTTTTACATAAATTTCTTATGTATTTATTTTTAGGTGAAAATGGCCATTATTATTGTGGCATGAGAGTATTGTCTTGTCTCTGTTGTGATGGGATTTGTGGTCCACAACATGGTTGTAACTGTACTCCTTGCCAGAAACTGGATGAGGAAGAAACAGCAAGAACAACAGCAATGGTTGAGAAGGGTCTATCTGCTAGACGGATAATGGACTCATGGCTTTGGGGACCACAACCATGTAATTTTATTTTAAATAAATAATTTATGTATAAGAGCTTAGAGAACATCATTATAATGATTCTGCTAGTATAATTTATTTCATGTAATTTTATATCATATAATTTTAGATTTGTTCTGTAAAATATATCGTTTTATTTATATGTATCTTTTAGCATTAACGGATTTGAGAGAATGCATCACTTTATGGATAAAAGAGCAACGCAAACTATGTTGTGAAGTCGCAAACAACACACTATCTGCGACGCGTTTAAGACAACGTTTAATAGTCGCTCGAAGATATTTTACCGCTTTGTCTCGTCACAAACCACAGGAGATGAAGGATGCCACGAGTCTACCAAAACCTATTGGGAAATTACAAAAAACGTTGAGTATATTATAATTTTGTATAATATTTACATAAAATATGTAATATGTTATTTTTTCGAAATCCTATTGTACACAGCACAGGTCAAATTTCCTAAGTGTTTTCTCGTGCACATTACACGCAGAGTATCGATATACAATTGTATCTTGATCCTCTTCAGAGTACGTTATTTTCTGTGTTTTGTTGCAACTAAATCTTATATTGTTTTTATATGGCTGAAGTTTTGTCATTATTTATTACAGACCGAGACCTAACGAAAAGGCAACTTTAGGACTTGCGCGTGTCGGTGCACGCGCGGCTCTTAACTTCTCGTTCGCGTATCTAAGACGAGCCTGGAGATCCGGAGAGGATGTTGAATTTTGCAGTGAATTATTGACTGAATCATTGGAGGCGCTACAATCGTTACCCGAGGCAACTCTATTCGACGAAAGTAACGTTTCTCAAGTCTGGTTGGAAGTTGTCGAAAGATCGGCTAAATTTTTGAGACAAGTTGTCACAGGGTACGTGTTTAGCAACTGAGAACTTATTAATTTTTCGGCATGTAATATACATGTGTATGTTATGATATATGCGAAAATAATATAATATAAAAATATAAATAGATTATATTTATCTTTAGAGAAGTAACTACCGGACGATCCTGGCGGCCAGTACCATTATCAGATCAGCACACAGCTTTATGTTTGTTACTAGAGTTGGTCGCGCAAAGAGCCACTCTCTCTAGTTTATTGGACTCTGTAGTTTTATTGCTTCATCTCAGCGGCAAGCATAAAAATCAAGACAATCGTGTCACGCCACCTGGAAGTACGGCGCCACTCGTGCCGTTATTGCGGCGATTAAACATGATACCAGCGACAAAATCTCGCAGACATCTCGACGGAAACGTTACACCGGGACCTTGTGAAGTACTACTTAAATATTTACGTCTGCCGGATGACGACGCCGCGTCTGTTGATTTAAGGAAAGCCGCAGTTATTATAATGTGCAATTTGAGCAGATTGGCCGCTCCTCTTTTACCACCGCCCAGCGCCGAGTTCGGATTCCCGAGAAATGGAAGCGGCAGACAAACGTTTCAGGAAGTGTTGGCTTGGGGTGGTGTAAAGTTTGGAAATGGATCTACTCCGTTTTACTGTGACGCGATCGCAGAATTGGGTATCAAACAATTATGTTGCACCGAACGAGCGCTGATAATATTGTCGTTAAACGGTAACGTTTACAATATGTATCACGGGTCCGAGACTCAATATCCACAAAGAGTTCACGGTTTTTCCGATAAACCGGTTACGATGATCGCGTCTCATTTGGATGGTAAGCACTATTTGGCATTAACGCAGGATGGATGTGTATATTCCTGGGGTAACGGAGACGGCGGTAGACTCGGACACGGCGACACCGTCTCGTACGACGAACCGAAATTAATCGAGGCGTTTCTTGAGAAAAACATTGTATTTGTAGCATGCGGCAGTACGTACTCGGCCGCATTGAGCGGCAACGGTGAACTTTACACCTGGGGAAGAGGAAATTACGGCAGATTGGGCCACGGCAATTTCGACGATGTTTTAATACCAACTTTAGTGACAACTCTTAAAGGTCATACGATTGTACACGTGGCTTGCGGTAGCGGCGATTCTCAGACCTTGTGCGTAACCGCGTCTGGTATAGTCTTCTCCTGGGGAGACGGCGATTACGGAAAACTAGGCAGAGGCGGTACGGACGGTTCGAAAACACCAAAGATTGTCGACAAGCTGCTGGACATCAACGTGGTGAAAGTGTTCTGCGGCGGACAGTTCTCTGCAGCATTGACAGCGCACGGAGAAGTGTACACGTGGGGAAAAGGTGACACGTATCGTCTAGGTCACGGCAACGAAGAACATGTCAGGTATCCCAAAGTCATCGAATCGTTGAGAGACAAAAAGATCAAAGATCTGTCCATAGGAGCCACGCATATATTAGCTTTAACGGAAGATCAATTCGTTTATGGGTGGGGTAGAAATGATTACGGTCAAATCGATCCTACGTTGGGCCTCGTTATTTCCGAGCCTACATTATGTCCGACGTTATCCTCCAAGACAGTCATGGGTTTAGCGTCGGGACCAACTCAGAGCTTTGCTTGGTGCATGTCAGCGTGGTCAGGCGGAGCCAGTAGAGTCGCTTTTGTTGTTGACATATGCGAAGAGACTTTCCAACTGCTCGACACATTGTTGGCAAAGTCTTGCGAGGGTCTACCGGGTATACGGCCGCCTACGCAAGATCGCGAATGTCTGGCAGTAGCCACACTTAATATACTCCGATTACAATTGCACACGATGTTGACGCATAATATCGACGCTAAATCTGTCGGAATCGCCTCTAACAGTTCATTATTAAATTCCTTAAAGCAACGCTGCGTCAATCTCGCGAGCGCGACTGGAATCTTAGCGACTATACAAGAAGCAGCGCAAGCGGTTCTACAAACGGGCTGGAGCATTCTGCTGCCAACAGCTAACGAGCGTGCGAAAACATTGTCTAGTTTTCTGCCAAATACCTCGAACAACATGGAACAGTCGGGCTCAGCGAACATATACATAAACAGTGGACAGCGATTTATGGCTGATTTATTGGTGTCCAGTCTAATGGTGGATGGCGGATTGGAATTAGCATTGAAGGCTGCGATTAAAGCGGAAATAGCGGACATGCCTGACGAAAAGGATTTTCTTGATGTGAGCACGTCGAACGTCGTCAAAACAAAGACCGAAATGAGACAAGGCATGAAGGACGGTTTCAATACAGGAAAGAATATCACGACCATCTCGTTACTTCAGCTTATACAGCAGTTGATTAGAAACGGCACGTGTATCACGCAATCCAGATTGCAGCAGGGTTCATCTCAGCAAACGGATCGAAACGAACATCTGCGAAGATTCGATAATTCGCCTAGTCTGAATCTGTTGCTGCGTTTTCAACGATTGTTAATCGCGCAAGTGTACGAGTGTATTACGCGAAAGTCTCGAACGGAAGATCTGCACGATCAGGAAATGATGGGCGCGGAGTCGTTGCTAAAGAAGTACATCGCACAAATCTGCGATCACGCTACCGAGATACTACCGTTGGCGGCTGAAATAGGTGGCCGTTCCGTTAAAGATTTCATCTCTATCGCCAGTGTCTTAAAGAGCGACATAATCAATGTGTTGCTGTCCGAATTGGTTACCTGCCTGATATTGTTGCAAGTAGACTGTCCGATGCTGCTGATCGATATGAACTGGATGGAAGTAATCGCGCCGATTTTAGATGCATTGGATCACTTCGTGAAGTTAGCGCCGACGATGGAGAAAAATGAAGCGGACGATTTATCCTGGCCTGGTATCATTGCACCGCAACATGGGAATAAAATATCCATTCAAGAAGAACCATCGCTTATACGATGGGCGGATCTCGAGAATCACAATCGTGACGGTGGTCTCTGGGTGGTGGTAAATAATAACGTTTACGACGTTCAGGATATCAGAAACGAAGGTTCCTGGTCCCCCTATGAAGTTCTTCAGAGATACGTCATCGGACGGGACGAAACATCAGCGGTAACATTGTGTAGTCCACCATACGGTCAGTTGTCACCGCCGCGAGGTATGATGGATTCCTGCTTCGTCGGTCATTATTGTCAAGCCGAGCCCGACGAGAACGCACGAGTGACAATCGAAGTCACCGACGTCTGCTCGTCCCTTCTGGACACGGAGAGAGCTTTAGGATTTCTGTTGGGTTTGCACGCTTATAGAATGCGACAGAGTTTGATGCTTCAATCGGCGGAAGTGGAAGCCGGCGTGTGGCTCACGGCAAATTTCTTGAGGGGCGGCTTGCAGGTCTTGCAACCGCCAAATCCGTATGAGGAGGAGAAGGACGAAGCGAGGAGCAATACGTCAACTGCCGCCAATTCGCCTACGGAACCGCCGTTTCCGATATACACGAAAAACGAGCAACAAAAAGAGAACGACGATAGAACGATCGCTTTTATTCACGCGTTAGCGGAAGCGCATAAAACCGACGACAATCACGTTCGAGCATTTTTAACCATAGTTGACAGATATTCTAAAATTAACAATTTATTTTCTCACGCTGATTTTTGCGGCGATCATCCCGTCGAGGAGATAAGTCGCGTTCTGATGGCCGTGATCATGAAACACCTGGGCTTGGGGCAACAAGCGCTCGCATTAACAGAACAAGAACTAAGAACCGCGAATAGCGCGAAACTGACAAATCAATTAGCCGACATGACGCGAGCGATTTATCAAACCAAGTGGAACTTGGTGCGAATAAGACAACAGCAAAACAGAAGTTACAAGGAGGTCTGCGCACCCGCACAAGAGAGATGTAGATTTCTTCTGTACGAAGTCAGATCCGCGACGAGTTACGAAGTTAAAGGATTTGAGGATTTGAAGCTGCTGCACACCGTTCCCAGATTTAAGAGAGCTGTTCGTACTGTCATAGCGGATATTCACAAAAACAAAGATTCATCTTGCGGGGGCGGTAAACCGGAGGATATCTTGAACGCGTCTATACAAAATGCTAAAACGAAAAACAAACCGGACAGCGATGCAACATCTTCGTCTAAAGAAAGCTTGACCGTCGCAGCTTCCCCGTCTACAAAACTCGAGGATATATCGGACATAAAGAACAAAATTATGCAAATGACAAAAAAACTTCGCTGTGGCCCAATACAGTGGGCCAATGCTGACTACAACGGTTTAATGACGAATATCATTGAGTTTGTCATTGGCGGGGACGGCATTGGCGGAGACGTCGAGACGTTGCGTCGCGCGATGTACTGTCAAATGCAACGCGCACGAGTGCGGGAACAAGGTATCCTAATGATGCGCGAATTGTTGAAAAAAAATTATTTGATACCGTCAGTGAAATATTCTCTGCTGAATGGCTGGCTTGGTCTGACTTATGAGAATAAATCTCTCAGCGACGGAATCACGCATTGCCTGAACAATATGCAGCTCACGACTCCTTATCAAAAATCTAAAGTTATTCTGGCTGAAGCTGAAGTAACTTCGTGGGCAGTACAAGCTTTACGTACGTATGTCATACAGGCGGAGCTGCCGAGCAAGCAGAAAGTCAGCGGAAAGAGCAGCTTGAATCAAGGCACGTATACTTGGCTGCGAAAATTACCGAGAGCAAGATTTCTCCTGACTATTCTCGGCATGCTGACCAATTATCAATCTGCCAGCGAGATCGGGTTGTTGATTAATTCAGGTCTGTTGTCGAGCATCTTGACTTTATTGAGACAAATCGGCCCATCGTCAGCAAGTTTCTGCGAGGGTGGCGAAAACCAGGGACAAAGCGCAGACGGCGAAGTGCCGAAAGTTAAAACTGAAATCACTGCGATTTATGAAGACTTCTTTCAAAAGAGCAAACCGCCGACTGTGCAACTCAGCGGTATGGAACTAGCGGCGTTAATGAAAATCGGCACTCGGGTTGTACGAGGAGCGGATTGGAAATGGGGCGATCAGGATGGTCCACCGCCTGGCGTGGGTAAAGTAGTCGGCGAACTCGGCGACGACGGATGGGTAAGAGTCCAGTGGGATAACGGCGCGACGAATTCTTATCGCATGGGAAAGGAAGGCAAATATGATTTGAAATTAGCTGATCCACCGACGCCTCCTGATGACGAAACCGACGAAACCGATAGTAACGCGTCGCTTGACGCGAATAAAATGGAAAGTACTGGCAGAGAAGAATTACATCCAACTACTTGCCTCAAATCGGCATCGACTACCTTGCTACGAATAATCTTGCTCTCTTGTGGTGTAGAAGCGGATAAAGTACCCTCAACGTCTTTGAAAATCCTTACTTCCACTCTGCACGGTATAACGTCAACCGCAAACATATACGGTGAAGTAACTACATCTGTTCAATTGGCGAAACAGCATCATGAAACTTGGGCTACCTTCAGTCTTCTACGGGCAATTGCAAAGTGTGGAAGTTTGTGCAAATCCTTGAGTTCACTATCTTGGCTCGATCTACTTCTTAATATTATTATTAATGTCAGTAGACCGTCCCTCGAGAAACAAATTATGATTACGAAACTACTGGCAGCTGTTCTACCTTCATGGGGGATGGAAGCAGCAATGAACGACATGATACAATTCTTGGAAAAAATCTTTCAGATATTAGGTGAAGTAGCTCTTTCATGCGATGTGGTTTCCAGTTCCGAACTTCAACCGAATTTCATTCCGAAAAAATATTTGTGGTCCTTGACCGCGTCTTATAGTTCTACCGTGGCTGAGGAACTAATATGGTTAATTAGATTCTTGCACTCTCTTCCTGGATGGAACGAAGCCATAAACAGATTCCTCTCTGCAAAATTAGCACTGACGGTGGATCTCTTCAATGACGGCCCTCTATATCATATACAAATAAACGAAAACAACGGCGCACATAATATACGTATACAACGTACCGTTATGGCGACTCTGATTGTCATTGGCGGTCTGGATAATAGAATAAGAATCGGTGGTTTAGTGAATTTTGATGGCGAAGTCAGCACGGTGTGTAAATTCTTAAAACAGTCGAAGATTGTGATACAACTGTGGAACGGCAACGGGACGCGTAAAGTAGTTCCATTTCACACGGTGAAGCGGATTAGTGAGAAATTTCAATTAGACAGAATGCCTTTAACAGATTCACTTATATCAATCTGGGCTAACTTGCTCTTAGGCGTAACTGGTACTTTGGACAAACGACCTGGTGGCATGCCTGTTATTGCTGGTGCCGTCAATGCTTCGATATTGCGAAATCAACAACAACAACTTGCAGCTTTAAACGCTGGAAAGGCCTTGCTTGCCTATCAGTCCAAATTACGGAACGTTTTGAAGTATTCATTGACCAATGGCGGCAATGATGATGATAAACATACACTGTTACAGGAATTACTGTTACGGGCCACGAAGCCACAACCATTGAAACCGATATTTAAACGTAGAGAGTTGGAAGAAGCTGCTTTGGCTGTCTCTCAGTATCTGGTTTCCGAATTGAAACGTGTACCTGTTCCTATCCAACGAACTGGGGTGACTTCGGATCCCGCTACTCCAACATCTGACATCTCGTTAATCTCTCTAACATCAAGTCAGAAGAGACATTGTAAGAGCACAAGAAGAAGTTCCGCTGTAGTGCCTGTAAATCCTTTGATAGCTCAGTTAGTCGAAATGGGTTTCAACAGGAAGAGCGTTGAATCTGCGATCTTAAATATGAGTGTTACTGATTCAGCCACTTTATTAAGCGTAGAAAACGTTGTAGGTTGGTTGCTGGAAAATCCGGACGCTGCTCTCAGTGACACAGAAACAATATCTAGCTTGGAAGAATTAACTGACGGTAGTGACGATTCTATCAGCGAGGATTTGGACGACTCTCCATCAGGACAAGAAGGCACTTCTGCTGTGGGTGCTGCACCGCCGACCTATATGAAGCGCTCGGACTTTTTGTCGGTAGACGAATATGCGATTTACGTACGTGAGAACGTGGCGCCAGGTATGTTAGTACGATGTTGTAAGAGTTACGAAGAGGTGGAATACGGCGATGTGGGTCAAGTAGTGAAGATAGACGCAGAAAACTTGCATGATCTGAACGCGCAAGTTGCGTGGCAACGCAAAGGTAGCACGTACTGGGTGCGTTTTATTCACATAGAACTGCTTGGCTATCCGCCATCTTTGCCAGGTCCGCCACCTGCGTTGAAAGTCGGTGATAAAGTTCGAGTTAAAGCATCGGTCACAGAACCAAAGTACAATTGGGGATCTATTAATCACCATTGCGTCGGAGTAATCACTGCAATAACTAATAACGGCAAAAATGTAACCGTAGACTTTCCACAACAGCACGGTTGGACCGGTTGCATCTCGGAGATGGAAAAGGTGCCATCTTGTCATCATTCCGTGATTTGCAACTCTTGTTGCTTGTCACCGATCTCTGGACCTAGATTCAAGTGCAAATATTGCGAGAATTACAACTTATGTGAAAATTGTTTCTACACCAAGCGATCACATCGACATGGTTTTAATAGAATTGCAGAACCCGGTTCGGCGGCCGTTTATGCTGGAAAGCCAGGCAGATACCACAGGCAAGATGTATCAGAATCATATCTGATTGATGACTGGTCCAAATGCATCGCGAGTTTAAGCGTATCTTCGCGAGAAGACTGGGCGTCCCGCTTAATAGACGGATCTGGAAAGTGTTGGCAGAGTTGCGGATCGAAGGGTAAACATTGGATCCGCTTGGAAATGCTACCTGGTATGCTAGTACATTCCTTAAAAATGATCGTCAATCCACAGGACAGCTTTATGCCTTCTGTAGTAGCAGTCAATGTAGGAGACTCTTTCAGCAACTTAGTGGAATACAAAACAATAACTATACGTTACTCAGAAACTAGCGTTACATTGCTTCAGGATATGAAACAGTATTATCCGTGTATTGAGATAGCGATAAAACAATGTCGAAATGGCGGTATAGATTGCAAAATACACGGTTTACGTATAGTCTGTCGTCAGAGCAAATTTGAGAATCAGCTCATTTCAGTCTCTTTTCTTGCGTCCGATTGGGAAGTTCTTCAAGAACAAATGACAGTACAACGCAACACTGATACACCTCCTCAGCAATCGGCTGTCTATGTTTGGGGTCTAAACGATAAAGATCAATTAGGAGGTTTGAAAGGATCGAAAATCAAACTACCGGTGTATAGCGAAATTCTTTCAAAATTAAAACCCATCCACATAGCCGGAGGAAGCAAGACTCTCTTCATTGTCAGCCAAGAAGGCAAACTGTACGCTTGTGGAGAAGGAACTAATGGAAGATTAGGCCTAGGAGACGATAATAACGTATGCGAGCCAAAACCTATACCTTTTCTAAGTCAGTTCGTAATTAAGAAAGTAGCAGTGCATTCAGGTGGAAAACATGCTCTGGCGCTTACTCAGGATGGTAAGGTATTTTCGTGGGGCGAGGGCGAAGACGGAAAATTAGGACACGGTAATTGCGTGTCGCTGGACAAACCAAAACTCATCGAGACGTTGAAGTCAAAGAGAATTCGAGATATTGCTTGCGGATCCGGACACTCAGCGGCAATCGCGAGCAACGGAGAACTATACACTTGGGGCTTAGGCGAATACGGCAGATTGGGCCATGGAGACACTGTCACACAAACAAAACCAAGACTAGTGCAGGCTTTGGTTGGACAGAGAGTGATTCAAGTAGCTTGCGGTAGCAGGGACGCGCAAACTATGGCATTGACTACTGACGGCCTTGTATATTCCTGGGGCGACGGAGATTTTGGCAAACTCGGTCGCGGTGGAAGTGATGGCTGTTATACACCTTTGTTAGTAGATCGACTGAACGGCTTGGGCGTCGTGCAAGTGGAATGTGGTGCACAGTTTTCTCTCGCTCTAACGAAATATGGCGAAGTATGGACGTGGGGAAAGGGCGATTACTTCCGTTTGGGTCACGGTAATGATCATCATGTTAGAAAACCAACCTTGGTCGAAGGTCTCCGCGGTAAAAAAATCGTTCATGTTGCTGTTGGCGCGTTACATTGCCTCGCAGTGACGGACACAGGACAAGTATACGCTTGGGGTGACAACGATCACGGGCAACAGGGTAACGGCACGACGAGCGTTAACAGGAAACCGTCATTAGTACACGAGCTAGAAGATGCGAGAGTGAACAGAGTATCTTGTGGTTCGAGTCACAGCATTGCTTGGGTCTTGGTCGATCAACCAAGTAGCGGAAATCAAGAACCGGTTACGTTCCCAGCAGTGAGAGATCCTCTAGGTCAAATGTGTCTAGGCGTAAATAATACACCGGATCAAAATGGTATTGTCGCTACAACGAGCAATGCCGGTGCCACAATGCCGTCGCTCGCGACAATAATACTTACGCTAGAGAGCAACGTCGCCAAACAACAAGCTTTACAACATGTGATAAATGCTCTTCTCATTATGCAAGCAAGAGCAGCTATAGTAACGGCTTTGCAGAGTCATTCGACATTGAACGGTACGTCAGCAAAGCACGCGCCAATGATAGCGCCACCGACGGACTTGATCATCCCACCAGTTGAGGCAGCCATGACTTCGAGTACCGAACACGCGGTTTATCAAAATGTCGGTGACATTGCGCAAGGTGGAGGCGAAGCTCCGGCGAACGTCGCCGAGGCTGTCAACGTCGTAACAACTAGTCCTAAGATGACACCCGAGTCGGAAGAATATCCATTAGCCATGCTAGCTATGTCTATGTCCAGTTCCGCCAGTTTATCTTCGCGCGCTTCGAGGATGTCAACGAGCGCAATGAGCGTTATAGCGGCTACCTTAACATCCAACGCACAGGTAGTAGGCGAAGACGGCGCTACAGCTTCTGGTCTGGATGAGTTTACGTCAACATTAACCGAGGACGACGCGAGAGTTCTAGTAGATCTGCTAAAATTAGCGGTAGCTAACAGAGTTTGCGCGACGGCTAAAGAAACTATATCGTCCGTACTGATTGCTCTAGGTAAAGTCAACAGCGCTATTGGCAGTATGCTATTGGAACTATGCGTAACAGAATTAGAAGATACCGCAGCGAACAGCAACTGTGTCAACAATACACCTCAACCTGTGGTGCAGGAGACGCCGCATCCTTATCTGGATGACACTACGTTGACAGGTCATGTAAAGATTCCCGGCGCGGAAGCGCTACGAGTAGAATTTGATCGACAATGTTCCACGGAGAAACGACACGATCCACTCACAATAATGGACGGAAGCGGTAGATTGGTAGCTGTCAGATCCGGGAAAGAATGGACCGATTGGGGCCCGGAAATCACGATTCAAGGAGATGAGTTAAGATGGCGGTTCTGTTCAGACGGATCCGTCACCGGTTGGGGCTGGAAATTCACCGTTTATCCGATCCCGGCAAAAACAGGACCATTCGAACTCGAGTCCGACAGAGCAGTGTTATCGCAGCCGAACATAGCTCTGGCCGAACATCTGCTTATGGACAACAGTTTAATAAATTCCGATAAGAATGTTGCCTCCCGTCTGGCTACCGCTCTCGGTCAATGCAGCCAACTGAGCACTCTGTCCGCGCTACAACGAATGTGGGCATTGAAAAAATTACAGGTGGTTTACACGAACGGACCGGGTATAAAACCCGAGGTCGCACTTTCATCTTTACTCAGTTCCTTACCTCAGGCGCTTTTAAGACAATACGCGTACGAAGACCCTCTGGTTAGAGGTGGTAAACAACTGATGCACAGCGACTTTTTCAAGGTTCTCGTAGCTCTTGCATGCGACCTTGAATTAGACGGGATGCAATTCTGCTCTGAGGTACACAAGTGGTCATGGTTCCGAAGATATTGCCTTGCCGCGCGCGTGGCCAAGTCACTTGTTGACCGAATCTCATTGCCGAGAGCGTTTTGTCACGAAGTCACGAAACAACTAAATGAAATGGCAATGGACGGGGATGCCGAATGTACGAAGGATCACGAAAATCACAATATATTCAAGCAAGGACACGACGAACAATTACTACAATGGCTAAATCGTAGACCGGAGGACTGGACGTTATCATGGGACGGATCTGGCGCAATTTATGGATGGGGTCATAATCATAGAGGTCAATTAGGAGGCTTAGAAGGTCCAAAAGTTAAGCTACCCGCACCATGTGAAAGTTTGTCCGCTCTTAGACCTATTCAGTTGGCTGGTGGTGAGCAAACTTTGTTTGCCGTAACTGCTGATGGAAAAGTTTATGCGACGGGTGAGTAAAATGTTAATTATTATTTAGATACTGTGCTTATATACATATTCAATCTTAATTATGTGTTACAGGTTACGGAGCTGCGGGGCGTCTTGGGATCGGAGGAACGGATTCTGTTATGATCCCGACACTGTTGGAGTCTATACAACACGTGTTTATAAAAAAAGTGGCTGTCAGCTCGGGAGGAAAACATTGTCTTGCTTTGAGCTCGGAAGGTCATGTGTATTCCTGGGGCGAAGGCGACGACGGCAAACTGGGACATAACAACAAGGTGTCATATGACCGGCCGAAATTGATTGAGGATTTACTAGGTGTGGAAATTGTAGATATCGCTTGCGGTGGTCATCATAGCGCTGCTATTACAAGTGCCGGCTGGCTCTATACCTGGGGAAAAGGTATTATTATTACAGAATCATAAAGCGTCGAAACAGATTTATTATATTTCTCTTTTGACCATTATGCATATCAAATATATCAATTTTATGCAAAATTATTAATAATAGATACAATATGTGCAATTGCACGTTGCAAAAAAAAAGTAAAATAAAATCGATTATAGGACGATACGGACGTCTCGGACACGGTGACAGTGACGATCAGTTACGTCCAAAAGTAGTGGAAGCTTTACAAGATTACAAGGTGATCGACGTAGCATGCGGAAGCGGAGATGCGCAAACACTCTGTGTCACCGATGACGATAACGTGTGGAGTTGGGGTGATGGAGATTACGGAAAGTTAGGTAGAGGCGGCAGCGACGGATGTAAGATTCCATTGAAAATAGATTCGTTGGCCGGACTTGGTGTAATCAAGGTCGAATGCGGTAGCCAATTTTCAGTCGCTCTGACAAGATCCGGAGCCGTCTATACCTGGTAATAGCATACACATTTTTCTTACCTATTCTCAATACATTATCTTTCTTAATATGTCGTTCTGTTTTTGTTTTTTATTTGCATATAGGGGCAAAGGTGATTATCATCGCTTAGGCCACGGTACAGACGATCATATGCGTAGGCCACGCAAGATAGCCGCATTGCAAGGAAAAAAGATCATTTCAATAGCAACAGGTTCGTTACACTGCGTCGCATGTTCCGATAAAGGAGAAGTATTTACCTGGGGCGATAACGACGAGGGACAACTCGGCGACGGCACCACGAGCGCGCTTCACAGACCGAGATTAGTGCACGCGTTGCAAGGCAAAAAGATTACGAGAGTCGCTTGCGGTAGTGCGCACACGTTAGCTTGGAGCACCGCAAAAGCTACGCAAAGCAGAATGCCGGCATCAACACCAATGGAATACGATTTGCTCAAAGATCTATCGTATTCAGTGCTACGCAACAGACTCGTAGTGCTGCATCATTTCGCAGAACTTCTCTGCCCAGCCTTAGCTATGTTCCCGATCACTGGACACATTGGACTGAGCAAACTAGCTCCTATGCTGGTGTACAGTATAAAGGAAGCGACATTCCGCAAAGTAATTCAAGCCACAATGGTCAGAGATCGTCAGCATGGACCTGTGATCGAATTGAACAGAATACAAGTGAAAAGAGCCAGAGCAAAGGGCGGATTAGCTGGACCGGATGGTATCAAATCTGTTTTCGGCCAAATGATATCGAAGATGTCTCTTCTGACACAAGATGTTCTGTTTCTTCCTCATAGAGTATGGAAAGTAAAATTTGTCGGTACGTATTCTATAATCGCTTTATGAGAATTTGCTAGGTCACGCGCAACATAGGATGTGAAAAATTTATTGTTGCGTATTTGACATATTTTAGGAGAAAGCGTCGACGATTGCGGCGGTGGTTACAGTGAGAGTATAGCGGAGATGTGTGATGAATTGCAAAATGGCTCTTTGCCGCTTTTTATACCCACACCAAACGGACGAGAAGACAATGGCACAAACCGAGACTGTTTTTTGCTGAACCCTATAGCCGATTCCCAGTTGCATATGAATATGTTCCAATTCTTGGGAATTTTGATGGGCATTGCTATACGAACAGGTAGTCCACTCAGCTTAAATTTAGCTGAGCCAGTTTGGAAACAACTGGCCGGTATGTCTCTAACGCCAGCGGATCTAACAGAAGTCGACAGAGATTACGTTCCCGGTTTATTGTGCATCAGAGATATGGATCCCGATGAGAAAGTCTTTCAAACTTTAGAAATGCCATTTTCTACGCCATCCGCCGCGGGACATGATGTGGCATTATCTAATAGGTCAGGAAATTTTTCAAGCATTTTACAACAAATTATATTATTTAATATTGTCACACATAATTGAACTATTTAAATTTCCAGGTATCTTAAGATAACACCTGAGAATAGGCATGAATACGTAAGACTGGCGTTAGATTATAGACTACACGAATTTGATGCTCAAGTAGCAGCTGTACGAGAAGGTTTATCGAAAGTTGTTCCTGTGCCTCTACTGGCATTATTTAGTGGTGCTGAACTTGAAACGATGGTTTGCGGCAGTCCAGATATACCGCTGAATTTACTAAAGTCTGTTGCAACGTATAAAGGTACAAATTATCAACTGATCTATGTGTGTGTATCTCTTTAGTGTAAAAATAATAATAAATATGAAATATACAAGTGTTATTCACAAGTGATTTTAACGCTTACTAAAAGTATTAAATATAAAGTACTCAAAAAAAAACATACGATTTTTAATGAGCCAAATGCAACTTTACAGGTATCGAAGCAACTGCACCACTTGTCCAGTGGTTCTGGGAAGTTATGGATGAATTCTCCAATCAAGAACGATCGCTTTTCCTTCGTTTTGTTTGGGGCAGAACACGATTACCGCGCACAATTGCAGATTTTAGAGGCAGAGACTTTGTTTTACAAGTACGAGATTTGTAGTTTTTTTTTTCATTTCCGTTTCACAGATAACAATAACACATATATGCGTTCGCATGTATCGCTCCTATTGAGATATTTATTTCTTTTTTTAGGTAATGGACAAGTACAATCCACCGGACCAGTTTCTTCCTGAAAGTTACACTTGTTTTTTCCTTTTAAAAATGCCGAGATATTCGTGTAAAACAGTTTTACGGCAAAAGTTGAAATATGCGATTCATTTTTGCAAAAGCATCGACACCGATGAATACGCTCGAGTACAACCCGCAACTAATTCAGACACCGAAGATACAGATAGTTTAGCGAGTGAAGAGCACACTTCGCTTTAATTCATTCGCTGAGTGAAATGACTATTTATCTTTAAAGGCATTTTTGTTGATTTCTTTATGAATATGTGTTCACAAATTCCTTCCTTCCCCCCCCCAAAAAAAAAGACATCATATTTTTCTTACACGATATTTATCACACCGCAAAATTATACGTAAATGTACCGCTTTTGTAGCACGACCAGTTTATTGTATAGTAGATTCATATAATACCAAAAAAATAAAATAAAACTGTTAAGATACAGATAAGCTTCAAAGTTTAATTTTTTCCAAAGTTTTATTAACTTTACATTTCCTAGTGGTAATATTTATTAAACTTTTCAACAAATATATTGTGTAAATCATATAAGTTTTAAAATATATTTTAAAGATTCAGGAATTATAAATTTTACAAGCACACAAATGTTGACCGCAATATTCATAATCGGATCTTATATTTGAAATCGTTTCGAATACGCTTTCAGATACTCCGTAACTAAAGACATGGTCTATACAGCATCATAAGATGACTTGACACATTAAATACTGACTTATATTTTTGTTGTGACTTTTAAATGACATGCTTGTTTTGATCATATCTCAAAATAGTCAAAATATATAACAAGAAAATAGCAGAGTAATCACGTTAGTTTTACATAATTTGCAGATAACAAGTATTGCAACTAATATGTCATCAGATGTAGTTTTTTTTCACATAGTTGCTGTATCATTTATTACCAATAACAAAGTACACAAATTGCCACATCCAATTAATTGAAACAATATTAAACAATTAGGGGGGTATTTGGGATTTTTCATATAAGAGATGCAAGTATAGCATCCAATATGAATTTTAGAATTGTTATTTCAATTCGAATTTCACGTGTAAAAATTTACATGTGAACACGTATATATGGATATATATACACGTATAATTTCCGCACAACACCTAGCGAATGAAACAATATTGTTCTAAGACAGATTACCAGATAGACTGATAACCAGATGTACGCAAAGTTCAATGATAAAGTTGCAACACTTTTTAGCTTAATCTGGTAAAAACTGGTTCTGTTGTGAAAATTTTTTGTTTTACTTTCCCCAATATCGTTATGCGTTTAACTTAGTGAAACATTGAATAGTGATATAAGAAAACATAACAAGAGTGTGAACACGCACATACACATTTGTGTGCGAACTACAAGTGAGAAAGGTAACATGAACATGTATATAATGATAAACATATAGTCTTAAGCAATTTTATTAGAGTCTTAAATCTCTTATAGATATATATTTTTCTTTCATTCGTATGAAATTATGTTGAGTAATGTTTGATACCGTATGATTGACGTCGCTCGTTATATTTTTTCTTATAAATATTCTACGGAAACAGCTTTTTCTTGATCGAGCATTGCTCTCGGACGCAGGCTGTTATCGCTTGTGGAAAAGATTATAATTTTTTATTTTTTTTTATTTTGATTAATTATTATTCAGAAATAACAACGTTTTAAAGAGAAGTTTCTCGATAATATACATGTTATAAACTGTGTGCATATTACGAAGATAAACCATCACATTAACAGAAAAGTCGCGCGCGAGATATCTGTGTACCAGTAGATTACAATTCAGTCTGCGTAAACGGTGCAATTGCATAAAGGCTACAAAATGCTCCGTTTAATAACGAACAAGGTATATATATTTAACTTCTTTGTTTTAATTTTATATATATAAATTATATTTATTTTTGTAATAAGATAAAAAAACATATACTAATTCATTTTGTTTTTGTTGCAATAGTTATCTAAATGGAGCCTCAGAAGTAATCGAGCAAGTGCTACGAGAACATTTAAACGAGAATTGAATGAGACAACGAATACTGATATACCCAGTAGTGCAGATGTTGTAATAATAGGTACACAAATTTATAAACTTATGAAAGACAAAACACAAAGTTCTAGTGTCTAATTAATAATTTGGAAGTAAAAAGTAATGACATTAATTAACGTTTTTGAGCAATTTACAGAATAATGCAAAACTACATGGATAAAAAAACTATCTATCACAGGTGGTGGCAGTGCAGGTTGCAACGCGCTTTATCAATTAGGAAAACGCGGCGTCAATGCGGTACTTTTAGATAAATCTAAACTTATATCCGGTACAACTTGGCACACAGCAGGTCTCGTATGGAATTTACGCGGAGTGTGCGATGTAGAAATGGAATTGCTGAAAGCTTCACGAGTGCTTTACGCATCCCTGCAGGAGAAAACGGGTGTAAATCCGGGGTGGATAAACAACGGTGGACTCCTCATTGCTCATTCTCCAGTATAAGTCTGAATATTTTTTTAAAGTTTTTACACAATTTAAGAATATACATAATTTAAGAATATACATTTCCGTTTCATTGTTTGTGAAGTGTACATATTTATCGTGTATTTATTTCGTAGGAACGAATAGCTGAATATGAAAGATTGGTCACCGTCTGTAAGAACTTTGGAATTGATGCGTACATGATTGATCCGGCCGAAACAAAGAAAAAATTTCCTCTCTTAGATGAAAGTGCATTTGCGGCTGCAATATATTCTCCAGCGGACGGTACCATAGATCCTGCCATGTTAGTAAATGCACTAACAAAATCGGCTACAAGCAACGGTTGCAAGGTAGATCCGTCCATTTTATCGCATCAATCAGACCGCAAGACATAACTACGGCTAAAGTAAAATATTGCAATGTTAATTAGAGCTCTCTCGCGAACAGACAATCTGATTGAATATAAATTCTTTAAGATAATCGAGAATTGCCCAGTGACCAAGATTCTCGTCGAAGATATCAACGGTCACAAAACCGTTCGTGGTATAGAAACACCTCGCGGTATTATAAAAACCAATGTGATATTGAACGCAGCGGGAGTGTGGTCTAGGTCAATAGCACAAATGGTAGGACTGGACATCCCGTTGATACCGATGAAACATGCGTACATCGTCACCGAGCCGATGGATGTGCAGGGGTTGCCGAACATCCGAGATCCCGATCTCAGTATCTACTTTCGCGTGCAGGGTGGAAATATAAGTATCGGTGGATACGAGCCGAATCCTATCATTTTGAAATCTGTAAGTTGCACGTGTGTGTGTGTGTGTGGCCTATAAAGTTACATTCGATTGTTCGTTAAAAAATATTTGTAACACAATTTTTATTTTCTATTATATTGTTAATTAATTTAATACGTGTTGGATAACAAGGCGCCAGAAGACTTTTCCTTCAGTTTGTACGAGCTGAATTGGGATGTGTTCAATACACATGTTGAAGCGATGAACCGACTGATCCCCGCTTTGACAACTACGGGAATAAGAACGACGGTGTGCGGTCCGGAAAGTTTTACTCCTGATCACAGACCTATTATGGGTACGAAATTTGAATTCTACGTTAATTACGGGTGTGAAAACAGACATGTCAAATTTAAATTACAATAACATTTGAAAGGTGAAGACCCACGCTGCACAGGTCTCTATTATTCCTGTGGATACAACAGCGCCGGCATGATGTTTGGAGGTGGTTGTGGAGAGCAAATAGCGTTGTGGATAATCAACGGGCGACCGGACAAACACATGTTTACTTTTGATATTAGACGGTGAGAAACTTAAATACAATAACATAAGATGGTAAGATAAAAATAAACACATGTACTTTTTCTCTTTATGCAGATATACAACAGAACAAAGAAAAAATTTCGTTTGGATAAAAGAGCGAAGTCACGAGGCTTATGCGAACAATTATGATATTCTCTTTCCACATGATGAACATTTAAGTGGCAGAAATTTGAAGACAGATCCTTTCCACGATGTAAATAATGCAAATTCAAATTTTAACATTTTTCGACTAGATATTTTGAATTCTTTTTTTTTTCTATTAATATTTATTCTCTGATACGCGACAGTTTTTCGTGAAACAAGGAGCCGTCATGGAAGAACGACAAGGATGGGAACGTCCAGGATGGTTTCTTTTAGATAATAAAACAGCTCCAGTTTTACCTTACGATTATGGCGGTTATAACGATATTCCGAAAAATACAAATGACACATATGCCGATATATTAAAAATGGAACGTACATTTAACTTCCCGCCACACGACAATATTGTAAGTTTAATTTTTAGAATTAGTATAAAACACAAAATCGCGAAAGAACACAATCGTGAAAACTGTTAAATGAATAATATCCCGTAACATGCTTATTACAGATACGGGAAGAAGCACTTTCCTGTAGGAACAACGTCGCTTTATTTGATCTGTCATATTTTGGAAAACTTTACATATGTGGTCCAGAAGCGAGTAAAGCGGTAGATTATATATTTGCGTCTCAAGTAGATCGAAAAATCAACAGGACCGTTTACACTTGCATGTTGAATGAAAAAGGAGGTGTCGAAGGAGACTGCACTGTGACTGGTTTAGAATCCGGCACGGGTGGTTTAGTCGATCCCATATTTAAGGGAAAATCATTTTACATTGGTATCTTCTTAAGCGCATTTTACTGTGTGATAATACATCGTACATTTATTCTCATACATATGTAATCAATCTGTTCTTTCTCGACTTTAGTAAGTGGAGGTATGTCATTGTATCATACTTGGGCGCACATTAACAAAGTGATAAGAGAAAAAAACTTCAACGTATCGGTACACAATGTTACAGAGCAGATAGGAATTTTATCGATTCAAGGTCCAAACAGGTAACTAATAAATCCGAAACTGATATAAATATAAATTGTTAAACAACTTTATCATAATATCGTTCAATCGTATCTTATTTATTGTCGCAGTTGTCAGGTTCTTCAATTGTTGGTGGAAGATGATCTCTCAAACGAATCATTTCCATTCTCAACCTCAAAACTAGTACGAATTAATGATGAATTAGTACACATGTTCAGACTTAGTTTTGTGGGTGAACTTGGTTTTGAATTGCATATTCCAAGAAGCTCATGTCAAAAGGTTTATAAAGCTGTAATGGAGTGTGGTAAAAAATACGACATGAGATTAGCTGGTTATAGAGCGCTCTACAGTTTAAGTTGCGAAAAAGGTAAAGATTATGTTCATCTTATTTTTATTTTAATTTTTGTATTAATTTAATGGGAATGTGTTTGTGTTTGTTTATCCATCAGGATATCATCTCTGGGGCGCAGACTTAAGATCAGACGACAATCCAATAGAAGCGGGTTTAGAATTTGTCTGTCGCAGTAATGGAAATTATTTAGGAAAGGCTTCTGTCGAAGAGTGTCGTACAAATGGAATTAAAAAACGACTAGTACATTTACATATAAATGAGTAAGTATATCGCAAGAGTTGACCCTGGTTTATCGCTAGTTATCACTATTTCAATACAATGTGTTATTTGTACAACTATCATTTAATTACAGCGATATACCGTTATGGGGTATGGAAAGTGTTTACAGAAATGATCAATTAGTCGGTTATTTAAGAAGAGCTGAACATGGATACACTTTTAAGAGCAGTATTGGACAGGCGTAAGTACACCGATAAGATAATATAAACAACAGGAGCACGCGAAATATTTATATTTATTTTTTGCCTTTTAGATATATCAGATTACCAAATGGACAAAATATTACAAAAGAATTTTTGGAAACTGGTACTTACCAGATAGAAGCAAGGGGAAAAAAATATCCCGCTAAGATATATCTTCAGAGTCCATTTGATCCAGATAACAAGAGGATGTTAGGTGTATATACAATGTAAAATTAATTATCACTGTTTCTTCTGACTTAAGAATATCTGTGAAAAATACTTTTATAATTTTTTTACTTATTAAAACATTGCTTGATATTTTGTGTAAAGAGTATAATTTACTTTTTTATTATGTCAAATAGCAAAATCTGATCCCAATTTTATCCTGCTAATGGATTAGCGTGTATAGTAACATTGTTTATCCTAATTTCGGCAAGTGGCTTATAATTCTTGGGGTTTACTGGCAGTTTTTCCAATTGTTCCAGAGTCTCCATACCGTCAATTACTCTGAAAAAGAGAAAATCAAAATTGTAACAATACACATACATGTACTAAAATCAAAAGACAAAAGAGACTTACTTTCCAAACAGAGTATATTTTAAATCCAAATGAGACTGTGGTGCATAAGTTATGAAAAATTGACTTCCATTCGTATTAGGACCGTTATTGGCCATAGAAACAAGACCTCTTGTGTTGTGCTTGAGCTCTTCCTTGAATTCATCCTCAAATTTTCGATTCCATATAGAGGTTCCACCTTTACCTGTATTAGTTGGATCTCCAGTTTGTACAATAAAACCTTTTATGTTTCGGTGAAATAAACAATTGTTATAATATCCACTGGCGCAGAGTGCAAGAAAATTCTGGAATAAGAAATGTTGAGATATATAAAATCTGTAAAGAAATTGTAGGTTATACATCTTTAATGGGATATAGTATACACATAGAAAGTGAACAATACCTCGCAGGTTTTTGGACACATCTCACAAAACAGCTCTATCTTAATGTCACCGACATCCGTATGCAACGTGACACTCTAAAACATCAGCATTTAAATAATAAACAGGAATACAGAAAATACAACTCGAGCATACAATATCTTGCATTCAACGTACCATATTTTCGAAGACTGTACGGAGATTTGCTTGCGTTCCGATCACAAATAAAATACCAACGAGATAAAAACACAGCTTGATAAGTGAATTCTGTTTGAGTCTCTTTCATTTATTTACACCTGCTGCGTTTCATTCGCTTCCATTGAAGAAGTATATATAATGCAATTGTATTTTCGCGCCTGGAAGTGCAAAATGTTTAAAGGGAAACGGTGTAGAAAGTACAATGGAGTACAATACGGAAGAAAGAGACTTTTGCGCGTGATTGTTTTTAGAGTCAACTGATGTCTGTAGCGATCCGACAAGTCGTTCGCTGTACGAGTAAAGATACAGCGAGAAAAATACAGAAAAAAAAAATGCGAATTTTTATTACTGTTCGAAAAAACTACCGGGTATAAATAACTATTTGTCTAAAATGTTTCGTTCCGATGAAAGAAAGCACATACACAAATTGACTCCGATAGTGCGAGAAAAGGAACCAAAGTAGCGCCACGAACGGCCGTGAACACGTACTATTTACATGTGTGTTCTACTCTGTTCGTTGTTCTGTCGCGCGCGCAACGAAAAGAGACAGGAAAACGGGAATAAGGATTCTGCGAGGCAGTCTCTCTATCCCGGAAAAAGCAACTTACGTCGATCGCATCGCGTGTTGTACGAGTCGATCGGTGGCGGACTTGGTGCGGAAGGAAAAAAATCGCATAAGGCGGTGAAGAAGAAACGTGCGACGAAGTGCCGCATCGGTGACGGCGAATTTCGCCGACGAGTGTCACGTCTGTGAAAACGGTTCTATCCTCGGCAAGCGTGACGTAATTGTATTGATCGCGGCGGAGGAAGGGCCCCGAAAGTCGCATTCGCCATCTTGGACGAATTGTAGAAAAGAAGTTTCTTGTGTCCCGTAGGCGCGGTACGTTCCGTGGTCGCGATCCGTGGCAATCGGCGCGTTAATCTAATTTAACTGGGAGTTAACCCTGTTGTGAATTGGTAACCCATTTGGACGGACCAAGGTAAGTCCTTATTTTGCGAATCTACTGTTGCCCGTGCCGCGAATTCTCTACGTGGATGTGTTCCGCTGTGTTCTCGCGACAAGGAAAAATCCCTTCCCCTCCCGATAGGCCTCGCCGCGAATGCTTTCTTTCGACGGAGGTACCGTTATCGAGACGATCGAAACGACTCCGCGTGGATTATCGTTCGCGTACCCGCGGCTGCTCCCAACACGGGTTATAATTCGAGGGACGATTGTGCGTATTTGGATACACGGTGCGCTTGTTGTTTTGAGCACTCGCTCTCAATTTTTGACATTGCACGCTCGAGGGGTTGGGTCCCTTACAGCCGCGTAATACCTTGATTCTCTTCCTCGACTTTCACATTTGTATACATTAAGCAATAATAATGTCGCGTTAGACACTTTTATTGCGGAACAATTAGAAGATATTTCTCTGTTGCCTTTTCTTTGGTCTTTTTGTTACCGCGACGGTTATTTTGACAGCAACTACAAACAAAGCTTCTTTTCGGATTGCTATTTTTGACCGCTTATTTTGTTCACAAAGTAATATACATATCGTGTACCCATTTGTTTGACTTGAGCATTATCACGGGAAATAAATTGAGATTAATACACATATTTGATATATTTCTAAGTGTAGTGTGTATACATATAGTTGAGAGCAGTCAAGCAGTTAAAATAAAACATTTGTATCATTAAAAAGTCACTATAAATGTGTATTTAACAATAAATTAGGCTTTTTTAATGTGATATATATTTTTTGAAACATATCTGGAAAAAAAACTACTGTGTTTGAATATAATGTGTTTATTTTGGCTTTCTTTTATTATTTATCAATCAGTTGCTCTTGATGATTTTTACAGAATAAACTAATAAAAGAAATCCAAAAAAGGAGTTTGTTTTTATTACAGACAAAGGGTTCGTTCTTTGGGTCTGAGTGGTACTAAATGGTTGCGTGCAGACAGCATGTCTACTCTGTCAGGGATTGTGTCGAAGGGGGAGAAAGGAAAATCCAAGTTCCAATCACTAGATATCAATAGCTTGTATCGGGTGAGTAGGGTAAGTAGAGTTGTCCAACATTTTTATTACTTTTTATTATTATTCTTAGTTCTATAGTCTATTTTGTGCTTCAGAATTTCTGTTGAGTTTCTCAATAATAAAACAAATGTGATCATAATGTGATATTATTATTAATTTTATTGTAGATGTAGTTTTTGATATTATAGTATATTCAATGAAAAACAATAACTTTTTATGATTCTTTGATGTTAAATAATAGATTATATCAATCAATGTGCACTATACAATTGTGTATTTGAACATTTTATGTAAAACTATTTTTGTATAAAGATGCTACGCACATATATATAAAAAATAGTTTGAGAAAAGTTGTTTTACGGTGCAAACTAAACAGCTGAATATTTTCATCGATTATTTAAATGTAGGGTGAATCTTTGGAACCGCATCAGCAAAAAAATACTTTACCTCGCAAACATGGAATGCAAAGTCTTGGAAAGGTGCCTTCGGCACGGCGTCCTCCTGCTAATCTGCCCAGTCTAAAAAGTGAAACCAGCAGCAGTGATCCAGCTGTCAGTCTTGTGCCAAGTGGAGGAAGTGGTTGGGCTACTACTAAGGACTCGACATCGTCGACCACTACTACTACCACAGTAGCTACTTCACTTGATAATACTACTGTGAGTAGTGATTTGGTTTACTTTGCAACTTGCTATTTTTTTAAAATATTGTCACAATTATTGTTTTGATAAAAATATATATTTGACAAAATACTAAGTAAGTATTATTGTGTGATGTATAATGATGAATGTAAATAAGCAATATTTTTTCTGCAGACTGTCTCATCAACAGCACAATGCACGACAGGGACTACTGTTTCAACATCCCTACAATCGTTATTACCGGGACAACAAAATGTGTCACAAACTCCTTTTTTGGATCAAACAAGCAACAAATCATCATGGAGCGCGATTATGAGCAGATCAGGAGATGGTATGTAGGCTATGTATGTGTGTTATTAAACTAACGCTCTTAGCATGTAGCATTGATAGAATGTTAAGGCTTTTAAGTTAACTATATCCTCCCTTATTTTCACACACTATCCATTCCATTCATTCATTTTTAAACTCATTTATCCAGAAGCGGGCATGTATTTTAGTAAAATAATGTAAAAAGTGTTTAAAGATCTAAATATATACATATATATCTAATTTGAAAGAATGTCCAGAGTTGGATCGATAAAAGATGGCATAAATATCAAAATCAGGGTAATAGTATAATTGTAACGCTACTTTTTTTCACCTAGTCTGCAGTACTTAATATGTACGTATATATATCTTTTTAACATCCATTTCTGGACGCTAAAAGTGTGAGCGGAGTGGTGTCGTTTGGATAGCGCAATTAATTGATAGGTACGCCCATTGTGGCAGCTGTGGTTGGTTACGCGGGGCTCGTGGGGGGTGCGAAAGGGGGAAGAGGTGCCCTTGGACTGAGTTTCCTCGCCCACCAGTCCCCGCAGTTCCAACACGAGTTTCCCAGTCTCAGTGGACAGCCTTCTGTCTCCGTCTCCACTCAGAGCCAGACTCAACAGTCCTCAACAACATCCAATGCAATCTCAGTCGCAGTCCACCAATCGTTACTACAGCAACAGCCGTATTCCCACAACCACTCAGGTGGGGTGCTGCTTGCCTGTTGCTGCTAGATTCAAGTTCTTATCACTTTGTCAGTAGTGCTCTCTGTGCTTCTCCCCATCGTGATTTTTCAGATTGCATTTTCTATTTTTTACGAGTTATATCAGGAAGAAGTGAAAATTGCATATATGTGTACAAATATGTTTGCTAGTAATGAAGCATTAAAGTATACAAAGAATACGCGATGCATGCGGATTCTTGAGTCGGCAATAAATCTCTAGTATAACTTATGCTTCAAAATATAGATACAGAGTGTTATCTATACATTGAATTTTTATAAAAGATTGTTTAGTTATATAAGTCTTCTTTAAAAGTAATGATGAAAAACACTTAAATAGATTAATTTCTACAACTATATACATTGATAAAAAAAAAAAAAAAGAAAATTTTTGCGTAATCAAAACTAACACTATTTTTTATATCACTACTATTGATTTTACATGAAATTCTATTTAAAAAGTTCATATTTATTCATCATAACAGAGTTTATTTGGTCAAAGATATATAGTAAAAAAAAAGGAAAGGAATAAAATTATTTTCAAAAGCGCGCGCGCACATGCCGATATCCTGTCATAATCATTGTAGACAATTTAGTCATAGAATTAGAAGATCTGATTATATTAATGTTGATTTTCATTATGTACATTTGTAGATACTAACTGTTAATTAGCATTGCAGTAGTTTGAATACATTTTTTAATATTTTTTGTTTTATATCAATTTTTGCATATCTTTAAAGTCTGTTTTTTTACATCGTGAGAAGTTAAATATTATTTTTATTATAATAATTTATATTTTTAAAAAAATTTAATTAGTGTTTTTTACTGAATATGTATTTTAAATGCAGGGAAAAAGTAATATGAACATTTTTTTAACTAATGAGGCAGAATAAAACAATATTTTCACTTTTATACTTGAATCGATAAAAAATTTTTATAACTCTAATACTTGATAATGATATTCTATACGTTACGTAATTTATACTTATTTATTTTAGATTGACAAAGATAATTTGGTTTGTATATATTAAAGCACTTTATCTTTTACGTATAAATATGTTTGTTATCTAGTTTTTTTGCTATATCCAACGCACTATCTCCGTAAAGCATGTTCTTGTATATACATATAAGAAATTTGCGCACAGCTTATAAAAGAATTGCGTGCGAGCATGTATGTGTCATGCTTATCACATACATACCTCATTAAATATTCGGTTTTTTCTTTGTCAGTTGATGTTGTTCTAATTATATTATAAATATCGAAGTGTTTGCAGTACGTTATTTAATTATATAAACTACTTAAATAAATTACGTAGGTGGGGCGCCGGGAAATCAACAACAATCAAACCGAGAATTAAATGCGCAATATGGTCCAGGACCAAGCTTACGTCCACAAAGTAAGTTTCTTGCTGTACAATACATCGTAAAATTGTTTTTGAGTTAGAAATCATCAAAAATTGATGATTTTATGATCAAACTTTTGCAGCCGAAGGAAGTTGGATCCAAGGTGGAAGTCGTACAGCAAGTGGAGCAGCGCCAACAACACCAGCTGCTGGTCCCGGAAGTGGGAATACTCCGGGGGGCCAGGGCCTCCCGTTAAATATACCTGTTTCAGGCGGTCATATCCAAGAGGGACCCGGTGGAGGGCGGCAGAACTTGGGCCAATCGCCCAACATGGGCGCGGGCCCGGCAGGCCAGCATAATGCTATAAACAATCAAGGTTCTGCGCCTTCTTCCGGCTCTCAAATTGGGCCAAATATGCATCATTATCGAGGAATTATCCCGCCGTTTGTAAGTGTATCATTAAACAATCCTGTAAGTGTATTATTATATAATCCTTTACAATCATGTTTTACATAGATGTTGTGAACTTGCGATAACAAATGTGTATGAATGTTTTTAGATGTATAGACAAAATTTTTCTGGTGGATTTCCTTCGCAATTTTCATCGAATTCCGGATCCAATAGTCCAAGACCTAGATTTAATCATTCCTTGGATCGATTTCCACCTCCTCAACGTGAGCGCGTAGCTGAGGAGGAAATACTGACCAGACCTATTATAAAGGAAGAAGATCTTACTCGTATGGATGATATTTCACGTGACGCAGGATGGGCCGCGCACGATGATATTGATTATAACCAAAAATTGGCCTTTAGCGACGATGAACCTGAACCAGAACCGCCAAAAAATGACGAAAAGAAAGATGTTAAGGAGAAAAAAGATGATAATTCCGCAGAAGAAAAGGAAAAGCCTCGAGACAGTCGAGATAATAGAGATTCGAAAGATGCACTTCGGGATCCTCCGCATCGTCCTTGGACTCAATCTAATTTAAATCGCGATTATCGTGGATCGAATGGCGCGAGCAGTGGTGGTTATTCTACTCAATCACAATTGCACTCTTTAAGAGGTTAGTACAGTTTTATTACAATAATTTATACTTACAACGCGATATATAATATAATTAAATTAATTACGCTATATCATATTTTTGTACAGGTGTCGATGACGACGAAACGTGGAGCGAAAGACGTAGACTCAAGTCTGATCTTGCATCCGTTGTCGAACGTGCACGACAACGCAAAGAGGAAGAAGAGAAACGTTTCCAAGAATCTACGAAACAAGCGGCAGCTAAGAAATTACAAGATCTGGAACAGAAGCTGAAAGAAAAACAAGCTAAGCACAAGGACGAAGAGCGCACACAATCTGGCGAGACTAAAAGCTTGATCAGCGTTCCGCCTGTACCTCTTCCAATACCTGAATGGGAAAGAGAAAAAGAGAATAGAGAGCGAGAGAACAGAGAACGGGAAAGAGAACGAGAAAGATCTCGTACTTCGTCCGAGGGAAAAGATGAGAAGATTGTTGCATCTGGACGTGAATCTCGCGACAATCTCAGAGAAGGCAGAGATCAAGCACTGCCGGACTTTCGTCAGAACGAGCGACAAAATTTTCTGCGCCAACAGGACTCTGTTCGTAGTGAACGCGAAAGAGAACGCGATCGCGATCGCGACCAAAGAGAATCGAGAGATCGCGAGCAACCAGCATTCTCACGTCACTTTCAGAATAACTTGCCGCCTAGATTTCAAAAACAACAGGCGGAAAGAAGCAACGCGAATTTCAATCGAATTTCGCCAAACGCGGAAAGACCTGCTTCTCAGTCTGTTCCGTTCTCTCAACAATACGATCCCGGTAGATGGGTTCATAATTACAACTCATTGAGTAAGTTTTATTAACGTAACGTTATATTTGGTTCATCATTTTCTTTGTGATATTACTATTATTAAATGTATACGTAAATTATTTTAATTTTTTATACTTAATATCACGCGTTTAATGAAATTTGTGTCAGTAGATAGCAGTATGAAGCAATCCGTACCGCCACAACGTCGCAACAGAACCGATTCCGATACATCGGCACCACTGGACGATGAACGACCTCCTTCTCGGGATCATCGCAGTGGCGCTCCACCATCGAGAGATGACCGTTACCGTCATTCTTCACACCGATCTTACGACAATCGCAAGTCAGGTTACTACGACGAGTACAACCGCAACTTCAGAGATTATGAATATGATGATAGACATTCTCGCGATTCCTGGGAACGCGAAAGACATTTTGATGACAAGGAACGCGATTCGAAAGAACCTCTCGACTCGAGAGATAGTCGAGACATCAGAGAGAATCGCGATGTTCGTGACAGCCGAGATGGTCGCGACATCAAAGATTCCCGTCCTACCAGCCGTGACGCACGGGACGTCCGAGATGTGCGCGATCGCGATAACAAGGAGAAGAAAGATTACGATAATTACTCAAAAGTAAGAATCTTAAACAATATATTAATTGTTTGTGTATAATATTTCTAGATAAACTTTTCATTTTGCAATATATTTATGTCGACTGACTTTCATTCGCGCCAATGTGTTCGATTTGAAACAAAATTTTTTACTGTTTGTAGGATTCTTTCGACGAGCGAGAGCGCGAACAAAGAGAGCGCACTGAAAGTTCAGAGTGGCGCGACGAACGTAACGTGGGACAACTTGAAAGCCGCCGTGATGCTCCGAAAGAAGAGCGCAGCGAACGGCCGCAAAGACCAGACTCGCGCGACAGTCGCGCTTCTCGAGAATCGAAGACGTCTCTGCGCGATGACGATTTGCATAAATTACGTGATTGTAATTCCTGGGTGAACGAAGTGTCGGATTATGAAGAAAAGAAAAGAGAATTGTATCATGAAGAGACTAGGGAAAGAGAGAGAGACAGGAGGCAACCGCCTGGTCCCGTTACAAAAGAAAAGATCGAGGCGGACGAATTGAAGAATGAAAAGCGCAGTTTGACGCAACTGAAGAGAGGCAGTTCTGATCTTCAAGATAAGAAAGATCAGCTAAAAGAAACTTCTGCCGAGACAAAGAAAGATACAGACGCGTGGAACAGAAAAACGGATCGTACCCCTGAAAGTAGACAGATTGAAAGGGGTGATAACTCACCAAAGGCATGGGCTGATGCAATATCACCAACGTTTGAGAAGGAAGAAGAAAAGATGGTAGAGACGACTAAGGATGGCAAGGAAAGTGATGAGATCAAACAAAGCTCATCGGAAAAGCAAGTCTTGGAGAAACGCGAGGAAGCTGTTTCCGAAGACGTTAAAGAACAAGGTAAAGATGAAAAACGTGAGAAAAGCACGCGTAATAGAACGAGCAGCGGCTCCAGTTCTAGAGTTCGCGAGTCTCGCGGTGGTCGTCAGTGGGGAGGGACTTACAGCGTCTATACTCGCGGTTGGCGTGGTCCAGAGCCTAGAGGTCGAAGAGGTGGTCCACGACCTTCAAGTAAGTCCGGATTGTCTGCCAAAAGTAGCTCTTACGGCCACACTGATTCTGAGAACAGTGCTGATGAAGTATCTGGTTCCACTGAGTCCGGAAAGGAGGATAAGCGTTCGGCTCGCTCGCCAAAGCCGTCCCAGAAAGTTGAGAAGGACGAGCGCAATCGCGAGGTATCGAGACGAGACGATAAACGAAACACGGAATACCCTCAAACACGTAACGAGAAAAGAGCGTACGATGGAAAACCAAGTCACGAGGCTTTCGCACCGTCAGGTGAGCCATCTCGTCGTGGAAGAGGTGGTTTCCGTCTACGAAACACGGCAACAAGCAGTCGCATGGAAGGCTACGGACCACCGTCCAGTAAAAGTCCGTTCTCGTCGGAACGTACTTTGGACGAGAAGCATCAGCAACAAAATGCAGCGCGACAAAATCCACCGACACCGACTTCGGAGAAAGAAGTAAACCTCTCGCAGGCCGCTCCGGTTGAGCCTACCGATGACAAGATGATTGCCAAGCAACAAGCTCTCACGGCAGGTATCACAGGCAGACGTAACAAGTCTCCGAGTCAACAGACTCAGTCCATTAATAAGCAAGAGGCGAATCACGCGAGTCAAATCGCCAACGTCTCCCAGAAAACACAAATGCGAAAAGAAGAATCGCGTTCTAAGAGAACTCGTAGTGGGAGTAGAAGAGGAAGGGACAATCGTTCACGCGGCAGCAGCAGCACCGTAACGAAGCAGTCTCAATCGGATGTAGGCAACGAAGATTGGGAAACCACATCCGAGAACAGCGAGGAGCACATCGAAGATCATAAAGAATCTCGTAATACTCGTAACAAGCATTTCAGCGGACGAGCCATTCAAGGTGTGAACGCCATTGGCGCAAATACGCATTCCCGCAGAAGCGAACAGTCGTCGAATACAAGAGAACAACGAGAGAAAAATTCCAAGTCTTCCAATCCGGCGTCGCGCGCCCCGGGGGCGGAAAAACGAAATCTACAGAATGCCGGATTTAATACTCAGAAGAATCATGCCGACGGCATACCGCCTTTGATGCAAAATGCACAAATACAGAACGGTGGGAGATCTAGAAGTCAGAGCGCGACCAACAGTGGCGCAGTCTCAAATAAATCGAATAACAAAGACAGTATGGTCAATCGTATCGATGAGATCAAGCTGACCGATCCAAACTTGGTGAATCAAGCGCTGAACGATCTGAATAAAAAGTCTCAGATAAAAGAAAAGAAATTAATGGAAGTTTCGGAGAACGAAACGAACAGCTGCACCGAGGACGCTGCAAATGCCACGTCAGAGGATAAAGTGGACGCCGACGGTTTCCAGGAAGTACGTTCAAAGAAGAACGTAAAGGAGTCGAGACATAATCAAAAGGAAGAAGCAAAACCTATCAAGCGAGACAAAGAAAAGGATCGCGAACGCGACCGTTCAAAGTCGAAGTCAAATGGATCGCAGCAAGTTTTGCAGCAGGTGCAAAATATACCACCCTTGCTTGGCCAAAATATCCCCCAACCGGCGAATATACCGCAGAAGCAGTACGATAATAGAAATTCAAGAAATCCAAAACTCGCTCCGCGATTCCAACGTCTACAGTCTTTTAAACAACAGCAACAGCAAATAGGCGGAAGTGATGCGAGCGATATGAATAAACTCGGTAATTCCGGTAATAATTTTGTCAAGGATTCGTCCAACAGTCCTGCACCCCCTCCTACGGTCAACGCATGGGACAAGCCTTTCACTAGCCAATTACGCTCAAATTCTCCGTCTGCAGTTCCTACGGACATCCAACTGATGTCTGGCTTAGCAACTCAAAATGATCACAGCCATGAAGGTAACGAGGCTAACTCGGGACAGAGTAGCCAACGAAATTCGCCGAGTGGCGAAAAAATGGGAAAAAATTTGAAGGAGACTCTAACGGAAAAGACTGTATCCGATGTGTCTTCACCTCCCGTACAGACTTTGATCTTCGAAAATACGAATTATTCAAAAACCACCAAGACATCCGGGCCGACGGATCTGGCGGTCAAATCAAAGTTCTCAAATCACATCAAGACGCAGCAACGAGCCGAGAAACGCTCAGAAATTGAAGAAGAGAACAATCAAGTTCAGCAACAGGCGCTCTCTGTTGCGTTTTCTAATAAAGCAAATGAATTGATTAAAGACAAGAATCAAGAACCCATTCAAATGCCTCTGTCGTTCAACAAGAACGAGGATAATGCCGACATGAAGTTAGACTTCACGTTCGATTCTGATCTTTCGCAGTTAACGGAAGACAAAAGCAAGAGTTTAGGCATGACGCGCTCCATGCATATGGCCGGTGGCCAGAGTACGATATCGCCGTCGACCGCGGAGCTCAATCTCAAGATTGCATCTGTGAAGAAAGTTTGGGAGAATGCGCCTCCAATGCCGACCGTTGTTGAACACGAAGATGGGAGCAGCGTGGTTAGTAGCGCAACGAGCTTTCCACAGGCGTTCGAAAGCGGTGATGTCGACGATAGCTACAGTCCGCATCAGCAATACAATCAGAACAATATGAAGAGTGAAATTACCACGTCCACGAACGTCTGCAAGGTGAGAATTCATTTCGCGAATATTTGTTGTCATTGTGCATGCAACAGAATGTTTCTGTTTGTTTAATTGCACTACTATTATTGTTACATTAATCGCTTTTTTTTTTACTCTTCTTTGTTTAATAAATTCTGTCTAATAAGTGTGGTGAAAATGAGAACGGGGTAAGTGGTTAGCATCTTTTTTTTTAATCAAATGTTGATACTCAAAAGCCGGAATATCATGATTTGATTTCACGGTTAAGATTGTTTTATGTTTGTCTTCAGATGTAGTCAAATAAGACGGCTTATATAGCATCTTAAGATACACTTAAGACGATCTCTTAGATATAAGATTTGACTATAAATATCACCGGCTTAAGTCACTTTTCAAAATGAGTATCAGCTGAAATCATTATTTCTTCTTAAGTATCTTTATTATTATGTGTCATTGGGATTATTTTAATTATTGTTACTATAGTTGCCTTTATATCTTTATTATTATTGAAGTAATTAGCTTTCCTAGTATTAATTAGAGAAAATTAAATAATATATATGATTGAGAAATGATATTTATATAACGTTTATTCGTTTTCACCAGATTTTATATTTAAAAGCGATTTTTCTTACTTAAAATCAATGAATGTTTGTTGAAAATGACTGTTGACATGTGATGTAATATATAGTACTAAATATTGAAACACAATGTCCCTTGTGGGAAGATGCTGACTCTTTGCCTGATGCGCAGCTGGTTCCCCCGCAGGTGAAGCCGCAGCAACAATCTTCGGGTAGCAGTGGTACGCAACCTGGATCCACTGTACCAGGACCAAGTCCTATCGGAGCTGGTCAGAGTCCTATCGGTCATCCTCCAGTTAGTCTCCAAGGTCCTCTAAGCCCACCTCCATTCAATTCAACTGGTCAACCTTCCCACATTAACTATCAAGTACGTTTATATTCTTATTATTTTTTATGAGTTGACTAAAAATGGCCGAATGTTGAGAAACAATTTTCTGTCTTATTTTCAGGAGTTTCCACAGTATCCTGGTTCACAAGCCGCGCAATATGGCGGCATGTCGGCTATACCGTCGCCACCGGCGGTGCTGTTCAATAGCTCGGGACAATTACCGGCTCAAGCAGGCGGTTTATACGGAGCGTTTCAATTAGATCAAAGTCGATCGCCATTTACTCAGTATGCACCGTACGCTCCGTCCCTCCAAAGCTCGTTCAGCCAGCAGAATATGTATTTACAGCAACCGCCTCCGCCGCCTCCTCATGCGCCGAATGCTCCCACACCAGAGATGTATCAAAGCAACTTGTCTCAGTATCGCATTGTACGTCTTAATTGTTTTTTTTTTATTGTTTATTCGCATTATATTTATTTAAAACAAAGGAATATATAGTTACATTCCAACAAGAGAATAATATGTATTATTTTTTGAGTTTAGATAAGTAATAGGAATAGCTTAATCTTGAGTTTCTCTAATAGACCGCGGCAGCTGCTCCTCCATTCGGACAAAATCAACAACTCAGTAACAATCCCAACACGGTACTTATCAGTTCATCATCGAATTCACTGATGTCAGCAAGTGTCAAACCGTCGTCTCAACCGATCGGAGCTATTGGAACTAAAGCTCCGCATTTTCAAACCCCATCCGCTCCTCAACCCAATCAGGTATGATTTCACTCTATAAGCTTGTTTCATTGTACACAGAAACAGCATATAAGCATACTAATAAAAATAATTTATCTCTTAGTTGACATACATACCGTACGATCCGAATCAAGTGCTCGGTGTAAGCGGCAGCTACATGGGCAATTCGCAGTTAGTGCAGAGACCTGGTCCAAACGTTCAAGCGTCTGCCAATAGTTATTACAGCGCTACATCTGCCGGTAAATTATGATTATTAATCGTGTATATGTAATGTAATATGCATCACAGTGTTTTGAGCACTGTCGTCGAGACGTAAATGAATATTTGCATCTCGATATATTTTTAGATGTATTTCCTGGATCACAAACGGGCTTTTATCAATCCGGCGGTGCCACTCAACAAACTGGAACTCATTACGGCTTGCAAGGATTTGGCCAACACAGTCAAAGTTTGGCAACGGGTAGTGCCACTCCTGTCGGTTTGCAAAACTATGGTCCCAGTTTTTTGTCTAGTTCAGGATTGCAAATAGCTGCGGCAGCTCAACAATTTCGCAATCCCACTGGTGGTTTACCAGGACCAGGCAACGCAGCACCTACCTTTCTTAGCAAGCATCAACCGCAAGAACAACCTAGACAGTTAAAGAGCCCATCAGGAAATCAGCAAGATGTACTTGCATCGGTGTTTAGCTCAAGTAAGTTAATTTCAAAAGTAGCTGAATGTAAATAAATAACTTTAATTTTTTTAATCACTAAAAATTGTGTTTTTGAGAAAGAGAGAGAGAAGAAAGTTCCTTTTAAAATATGAAAATTATATAATTCTTAAATTAAACAGTCTTAAATTTGTTTGACAACTTGATGTTTACTTGACAAGTTAAATGCAATTTTCCTAAAACTTTATTGGAACAATGTTTTAATTAACAGCTCCTCAAATACCATCACCCAAGTCGAGAAATTGCAAACAACAATCTTCGTCGCAACAACCACAGCCTAGTCCTACACAACATCATAAATACCAACAATATCAGGGCGTTAGTCAGTCTGCTCTGGTAAGCAGCTACAATAACTACGTATGTACCATTATTTATTCATTGTAGTTATCATTTATATATCATGCATGCAACACTTAGCGAGTTTAATTAAACATATATGTGTTTCTCTTCAGTAGTAGTAAAGTTTGATTTAAGTATGTACTGATATTGAATCTAGTGTCACATACGAGTATAAATAAAATATATATAAGTATTATAACTTCTCTTACATTATATGTCAACAAAAATATTTTTTAGTTTTTTTTTTTTTAGTTCTAAGTTTTGAAACATCTCGCATAGTGTACAATCATGTAAAGAAAAGAGATATAAACATTAATTTTTCCAATAAAATTATTATGTACAATTTGCTTTTGTACAACTTTACAGGTCTTACAACAGAATGTTCGCGGAATGGGCATGCCGCCTCGTGCCGGTATTCAACCCTCACAGCAACGTTATCCGCCTCCAATACAAAGACCCGTAGTACCATTTGCACCCGGCCCAAATCCGAATAATCCATCACAACAGCAGCCTACCTGTATGCCGACACAGCAGCAACAACAGACTCAAATTAATCGTCATCGACCGAATTTACATCAACAACAACAGCAGCAGCAGCAACGCAACATGAAGATGCAACAACAATATTATTCGTCACAAGGTTTGTAAAAACCATAGATACATACGTGAATATAAAAGTTAAACGTCTGTAAATATGATCTGCATATATGAGTAATGAAAAAGAGAAACGACTATTTCCCTTGTCTAGGAAACGTCAAAATTGATTCAAGTGATAAATCCGATAGTCACAATGACAAGATAAATGATGGCCCATCTGGAACACAATCTGGAAGTAACAAGTCCAATGTGAATCAACAAGACAGTGATAACAATAAGGAAGAAGTGAATCAGCAAAACGAGTGAACGAGTGAGAATATACGTGACGGTGAAAAATATATATATACTTACTCTCTTCCATTTGTGGAAAAACAAACATTTTTCTTTGATTAAATCTTTGATATAATCCTGTTGAAAAATAAGGGCAAGAGACTAACGTGCTATTCTGTTTCTCAAGAGAAAGAGCACACAGTGTCATTGGAATTCGTTTACCTACGAAATCACGTGCTTATATAATCATCTAGCGGTTAAATAGATCACTTAAAATAAAAATCTGATTTTTGTGCTATATCGGAAGGAAGAACTTGTAGGAAAGTTATATTATACGCACCTATCTCTATTCTTTAGTTGATAACAGCATAAACTTCTCGTCTTTGTGCAGGCGACAACTTTTATTAAGCATTTCCATTATTAAATAATATCAGATGTATGTGAATATATTTAAGAATGGCAACATGAAAGTTAATTACGAGCGCTGATTACATATTACTAAAAGACATACTTGGAGAAGTGACACTTAAATTATGTAATGTTTCAATTTTTGACTGAAGAAAAACATGTGTGTCGTCGTCGAGTGAGATTCTAGCTAATCGATCGCAGACGCGAGCTGCATATAAAGGAATGGTATTGTTTCGTTATGGATGTATGCGTGAGAGATGATATTAACAAATCTACATTGATTCTCTCTTTCTGTCTGTGTATGTATGTATGTATGTGACTCCATATACGTACATATATATACATGTCTGTACTCAAATCAGTCTGCTATAAACAATAATGCATGTCTCAGGACGCACGATGCACTTTTTCTTGCTCACGTCACAGAAAAAGTTAAGAAATAAAAAAAGAAAAATGAGAGCAATTAGCGAACGAAAGTTAGAATTATTGCAATTTCATATGTTCGCAATCGAATGAACTGAAGATAAGCGGCAGGATAAAGTCCCCTGTTTATCTGAACAATAAGAAACTGAATTACTTACCGATTAGGATCGTACATACAAATTGAAGTTACACATGACCATGTCGCCCTCATGTATTGGCGATAAGAAGAAGCTCTATGTATATTGGTCGATTTGTCGATGATGCGAGGTCATGGCGAAGCTTGTGCGACAAAATAGAAAACTGTTGTTTATAGGTATCGCACAAATCATCATGATCTAGCTTTATTCACGACAAGTTTCAATCATTAGATGTATAAGATATTGCTTGTGAAGCGTGAAAAGTCATACATGAATTACGTGTCGATAGTCTTTTCACGTTTAGAAAGATTATGTTTGATCAATCGAAACGCAATTTAAACTACTACTATCGCAACGTACGAAAAAAATTGTATATTATCTACTTTCGTTGCAGTTAAAGCTTTGTTATAAAGATAAAGCCCATGAAAATAAATAGTAGTATTCACAAGAGTCTATCGTTGCCAGATTTTATTCAGCAAAGATAGCGTGGCCCATTTTGTCTGGTTTCTGAGAGAGAGATCCAGGCGCTGTTGTAATAGAATGTTAACTGTCAAAAGAGAAAAAAAAACACAATACATACTGCCAGTCGTGCCGACGACCACTTATCTTTGAACTCTGAGAATTTTTCATGTATTCGTGATAATGTCTGTGTGAATAGTAAAACGTGTATTAGAGAAAGAGACACTTAACACGTAGGCTTGTTAAAAATTCAACATTTCAAGGATTTAGAAAATATTGACTAGAGAAAGAGGATAAAATTGCAATTAACTTCTCTTTCATCCTGAATAACTTTTCTCTAAAGAGTATCGTGAATTTAGAGAAAACTACTAAAAGATGTGGGTATGTGTGTAATGTGTAAATTGACAATGGCAAAGTTTGCGAAATTAGACATGAGGCTACAATTTCTTTCGTGTTAAAAAGAAACGAAGTTTTTGGTGTAACATCACCAAAGTGCCGTACAGGCAACGTATATACTATTAAAAAAGAAAAAAAAAAAAAAAACTTTCGAAGTCTCAAAAACAGTAGTAAACGCTTCTCTCTTATGTTATTGTCTTAATTCTCTAGTACTCTTTTACAGCTATATGATTATTTTTATTTGTTACACGTCTCTATTGTCAATGTAACTAAAGCATTTGCATGAAATAATCGCGTGTTCTCACGTGAATATATTGAAGTTTTATTAAAGTTTCAATATATATATATATTTGTGTGTGTGTATTTTTCAAACGTTTTTACATCCAATTTGTTTTTTTTTTTTTTTTTTTTTTTTTTTTTTTATATGATTAACATAGTATGGAGTACTGGAGAATCAAGTTTTATCATAAACATCATTACCGCAATAGCTATTACCACTTTGGTTATTAGCGTCATCAGCAGCTGGATCATTATCATCAACAGCATTGTAAAACAGTAGTTTAGGATTAGAAGTAGTAGTGGTAATAGTTGTTGGTATTTTCAGAGTGTGCGCGATTTTACAACAACAATAGTATTTCTAATAATAACTGTAATAATAATAGTAACTGCAATGGTAGTAATAGTAATAGTACTATATTCACAGCAGTAGCAGTAGTATTGTGACAATCGCATCAATTATTGTCTTCGTGTTTCAGCTTTAAATAGAATTTTTATAACTTTCATTGATGTGTTCTTTTTGGAATCACTGCAATTAGTTATACGTTCTCATTACACAAATTTATATATACATATATATGTATATATATATTTTTGTAGAGAACCGTTAAATATTATTATAAAAAAATGACTATATACATATTATATGATTGCTATCGCCGAATGATTAATATTGTCACGACTCATATTGCTTATTACTATTTGTTACCTATATATAGCGTTATTTGGTGTGTATTTGTTGTACTATTATTATTATTGTTAGTCAATTATACATTATTCTTTTAGTACTATTACTACTACTATATTCTATTATTTATGATAATGCTACTATATTATTACTGCTGCTGCTCCAATTGCCACTACTACTATTAGTACGGCTGCTCTATACTATTATTATTATTATATTTTATATTATTTTAAATATTAAAACATTAATTTTATTATTATTGCACATATACAGTTGGTGGATAATGATGGCGAAGAATGTGGTTTAAAAAAAGAGTAAGTAAATGAAAGAACGTTTACTTATATTCGGGTACGTCATAGGGTAATCTTTTCTCGACAAATTTTATTTTTAATTTTATTTTTAAAGATATTAAAAATCCCCTGTTTATATATTAAAAACAAAATATATAAACAATGTCTATTATATAGCTTATTAAATATGCGAAGAAGTGGATTTTGTTTATATCACACAAGCATATAAATTCGAGCTAATAATAATGGTCTGTCGTATTACAACGTTGCTAAAAGTATTTTACTCGAATGATATTTTTATTATAAGACCGTATTTTAATTTGTAGGAATGCGATGTTATATGTTTGTGAAGTAGCGTTTTGGCGATTTCTTTTATATCTTTATTCTGTTCCTTTAGGCGGAAACTTAATTGCTCATCGTGTATAATTGTTACTATTAGTGGCAATATATGTAAATTGTTGATATTTTATTGTAAAAACCGAAGATTTTCATATGTTTTCTGATATTTAACGTTTTAAGTATATAACGTGAATGCTTGAAAAAAGTAATATGACAGACCTCTTTACCCGTCGATGGGCGCCTGTAATTATAACGATCTGTAGTTAGAAATATGACAAAACAAACACTACTTATATAAATATATATAAATATATATACACAATTACGTGCTAAAAAAAACGTGAAAATAAAATAGTAAACGGCAATTTGCTACTATTTATACAATTAATTGATACAACCCAACAAAACTGTAGGAAATTAATAAATAGTTTTTAATAATAAAAAAAGAGTGCAAAAACTGCAAAATGATGTTGGCTGAAATTCTCTATCTCTATTAGACGAAATTTATTCTTGTAGAATCTCTCATAAAAACCTGAATCACATATGAACTGATAATTTAAATTTGATGTATAATTTCTCTTTGTGACAAAAAAAAAACAAAGTGTTCAATTATTTACTACTTTTGCCTATTTGACTTGTGTCTGCTACTTTTTGATATTACTTTTAATATTATCAAAATTAATACGTACGAGGAAAATGCATATCAGTAGATTTTTAAATAGGGCAATCAAATTTTCGACAAATTCAATCAGAGAGACACAATGTAACAAGTACATTAATTTAAGTAAAAGAAAATTACATTTAGAAAAATTTATAGATTTCTATTAATATTTACATTGCGCACACTGTCGTTAAGAATAATGTAAAAAAATATTCTAGATTTCGCAATTGCACTTAAACGATAATTACTCAAACATATGTTAGCAATGCCGATTGTCAATAGAAATATATTGTGTTTTATTTGCAAGCTTAATATCATATATGTATGTGTGCATGCATTTTAGATATCACGTCTCCATTGTTCATTTCTGTTACCTCACAAAGTTCTTCTTTTGAATGCGGTTCAAACACATCCTGCCAATTGCATATATAGTAGCTACAGTATTTTATTTTATTACAGAATAAACAAGCACTTTTTTCTAATAAGGTATTCTGGAAATATTCTGGTATAGATATGTTTCGTGTGTTTTACTGCAAATATCATTGTGCTTTCCACAGGAGTTATGGATTTGAATAAAGAAAATACAAACTGGAAAAGAAAGGTAAATACGTTATTTTATTTGTTTAGAAAGGGATAAAAAATATATTTTGGTTGAAGTAAAAAAATGTTAAATTGTATATATGGACCGTTTATTTTGAAAGTGGTGTAAGTCCATTTTTTCTTTTGTTTCGAGAAACTTATAGGTTAACATATCTGTCACTTATGAATTATGAATTACGTGATATCTCATTTTTTTCAAAAATGGACTTAGGGTACACCAATTTTAAAATAAACGAGCGTGAAACACATAAAGAGAAAACAATCTCATCTTTTAAGAGAATCTGGAGCCCGGCCTGTAAACTGGATAGAGAACCGACGTTTTAAAAACCTAAATTTCTCTAATTTTTAAGTTTCTTTACTCCATTACATAAAAAGTGCTTCTATAGAAGCAAATACATATAAACAACTATTTAGTGCTTTTGAAAATATATGTATAATGCCTTTTGAAACTCTTTTTTTCATTCATAATGATAGCATATGATAACCTATACTGTCATCACACTAAGACGTTGTTCTCATCAATTAGATAGTCATACCATAATCTGAATGTCTCATTAGATTCGTTTTTGTCGTA